TGACCGCCATTAGGAAATAGACACCAACTTCAAGGGTGATTTTCACTCAACTACAAGCTTAACATTTTCTCTGTCATTTTCATTGGATTATAATAACAAACCTATGATTTTCTCTATACTACAAAGAAAAGTCCAGAGAAATTTGTGAACTTATATTCACTTTCAATATAACAAAAACAAAAACACATTAACATCAAGAGACAAAAATATATTAAACACAAGCACATAAAAAAATCACAGAGAAGATCTGTTATGTTCATAAAACATTCAATTCAAAAAATTTAAAAAAAAACAAAAAAACAAAACACTTACTACTCTATTGCTACATCTGTAAATTTCTCTGCCTACTTACAATTTTCTCTGTGATTTTCACTGCACTACAAGCTTATAATTTTCTCTGTGATTTGAGTTCAATTATAGTAACAAACCTGCAATTTTCTCTGCACTACACAAAAACTACAAAGTGAACAAAAAACAGAGCACCAAAAAGCAACTCATAACCATGTTGACAGAGAATGAAAAAGCAACTCCAAAAATCAAAATCAACTCCATCGAAAATTCATCAATAACAGATAATGAAAAATTAACTTCAAAAATCAAAAACAACAACACTGAGTTCGTCTCTCTCACATTGATCAAAACTAAAAACAAAAACTTAATTCAACACCTACATGATCAAATCAAATCAAAAATTAAAAACTTATCTGATTCAACTCCACATGAAATCAAATCAAATACAATGAATCAGATTTCAACTCCTACACGATCGATCAACACCTACAAACAACGAACATGATTTCAACTCGTATAGGATTTCAACACCTACAAACAACGAACAGGATTTCAACACCTACAAAAACCCTAGAAAATCTCCACAAAAATCTGAATCATCAAGTTCATCCTCACGTAATCTCCCACAAAATATCAATATGATCTTTAGCTGTCAAATTGAAAACAACGTATATTATAAACAAGGGTAAGACAGGTATTTTACACTCTAAAATAACATTGAGGGACCTTAGGCTACAAAAGAACATATTGTGGACCTAATCCATTACTAAAAGTTGGATAGGGACCTTAAACCGATTTTCCCTATTAATAATTGTGTGGAAAACGGATCACAAAATTAATCATATAAATAATTTTTGTAAGATTGTGCAAACTTTTATTTCAAGGACAAATTGTCACATTTTCAATATGAAATTTGATTTTTTTGTAATAATCAAAATTATTGTGAAAATGATTATATTTTGGACATAAATTACATATTTAAATCATTATTAATTGTATTTTAAACTTCAATTATTGAATTTTGGTAATAAGTGTTCTTAGGATATAAAGACGATTATAATTTTTCACTTATTTTTAAAACATAGTGATAGCGTTTGATAATGTTTACGTTTTTAGTTTATGTTTACATAAATTTTATAAATTATTTTTTGTTTATTTTTAGAAAAACATAAACTACAAATGCGTTTAGTTTAAACAAAATGTTTGAAAAATTTTAAAAACATAAAATAAAAATATATGTTTGCTCAGGCTTAAAATATTTATATTTATATTTATTTTTTATTATTTATGACAATAGGATCATACACATTATAATTGAAAAAAAATAATTGCAAAAAATAATAATTGAAAAAAAAAATTTGATTGAAAAAAAAATTGTTAGTTAAATTTTTAAATTTCTGTTTAAAAATCAATATAAACTCATTTTTTGAGTTTACATTTTTTTCCTCAAATTTATAAACTGAGACAATCACTTATAAACTAAAAAAATTATCAAACAAGTTTTCATAACAGTTTTTAAAATTTTTATAACTATAAATTGAAAACTGAAAACGAAATGGTATAATTTATGTAATGGGAATATTTTAATAATAGTGCAAACGGTAATAAATAAACAAATAAGTTGCCAAATGTTTTGAGAATTTTGTCCAAAATGATTGATCAATTTTTTTGAAAAGATAATAATGCATACTAAGAGCATCTCCAACGATGCATTTTTTTTCATCAAATTTGAGTAAAAAATGACCCATTTTACCAAATCTGATATCACTCGCTCTAACGGTGAACTTTCATCAAATTTGCGTTGGGACAACCGGTTGGTCGATCGATTAGGCGAAAAAAAAAAAAATTCTTTTTTATTTTATTTATTTATTTTTTTGAACCTTTTAGTGATCGACCGGTTGGTCAACCGGCTGGTTGACCGGTGAGACAAATTTTTTTTTTTTATACTGTTTGAACCTTTTCTTGGAACTGTTTGAACCTTTTGGTGGTCAACCGGCCGGTCAACTGGCTGGTTGACCGGTTGGTCTCCCCCAACGGTCACAAACAGTGTTTTGATGAAATCAGTATTCTGTCCTCAGTTTGATGAATTGTTTGGTGAAATCTCATTTTGATATCGATTTGGTGCAACCGTTGGAGCACCAAACAGTAACTTTTTCACCAAATTTTAAATTTGATGTCAACTTTGATGAACCGTTGGAGATGGTCTAAGAGAAGTTGATTGTGTGCAATTAGAATTAGGGGTGATCAACGAATATATTGATCTGTCCAAATCGATTGAATTTAATTGGTTCGCCATATTTTGGACGGATGTGTGATGATGAGCAGACGGTTGCGAATTGATTTTTTCCAATCCGTCTTGTTTTGAACGGATGGCGGATTTGAGGTTCTTTGGCCGCAACCGGACTACCAAACCGCGAGCACCCCTAGTTTGTAAGACTTTTTGTATTTTCAATTTGTTTAGATATTCTGTTTGTGTTTTCAATTGAAAAAAAATTTAAATATTCAGTTGAAAAAGAGTTTCAACTTTTGAATTGAAAAAATAAATGTATTATTTATCTATATTTTTTATTTTTAAATCTAACTGTAAAAATAATAAATAAAAAAGATGATATATGCTGATTGGTTTTTGTTTTTAAAAACAGATATAGATGTAACAATACAGAGACATACAATCTTTATTACTTCTCTGTTCATGGTTTTGGTGGATTGAATTGTTTTTATATTTTAAGAACCACATATTGTAATATTTTGTGTGGACGAGGCAAACTGTGATTGTAATATGTGAATGAGGCATACAATGATTGTAATATTCTAAAATTTCAAATTTTCTTTCTTTAGATGAGACATACAGTGATTGTAATACTCTTTTAGGTCATTGACTATAATATAATTTTTTTCTTTCGAGGAAGTGCACAAGTTAAATTACGTTGAAAATTTATAAAATTTTAAACTGCTAAATCGATTCGCATCCATCCGTCAATCTATCAATCTGCATTTGTCGAATTGGCAGACGAATATGGATTAATTCTCTCTAGTCTATCAATTTAATAGACGAATAATAAATTAAAAGTTCCGTTGTCGCAATCGATTTACGCCTACCCCTAATTAAGGCTTTATTTGTCATAACCTAAAAAAGTTACTATCCTATTTATAAGTCACACCGTTTTATTTAAATCACACCACCCCTCTATCACATCATTTTAAATTTAACTAATATTTCATAAAAAAAAAAAAATTATACTTATTTAAATTATCCTAAACAACTCTTAAAATCATACCGGGCCTATTTGGTTTACAATTACAACAATATTGGGGGTGTTTGGCAAGGAAAAAAATAGCCTAGTTTAGGCTAAAATTCACAAAAAGACAAAATAGGTTAAAATACCTAATAAGACAAAATATCATATGAGCTGTGATTAGGACCCCCTTATATTCTCACCCCCACCACCCTCACACACACGTGGGGTTGGTGAGTGGGAGAGAAGAAAAAAAAAAAAAAAAAATTCAACCAATCAAAAGGCAAAGGGGGTCGTGGGGTCCCTTGGAAAGGGGGTCTCACTCTTTTTTGATATCATATCAAACTCATAAGACCATCTCCAACGGTGAACCAAACCTGGCATCAAATTTAAAATTTGGTGAAAAAGCTACTTTTTTAAGCTCCAACGTTTTCACCAAATCGATATCAAATCCAGAATTCAGCAAAAATGGTACCAAACTGAGTGCAGACGAAGCATTTCACCAAATTACTGTTCCTAACCGTTGAGATGAGACGAACGGGTCGACCATCCGGTTGACCAACCGGTCGCCCCGGAGAAAGTTCAGACAGTTCACAAAAAGGTTGAAACCAGTCAAAAAAAAAAAAAAAAAATTTTTTGCCTAGGTGGTCGACCACCCGGTCGACCGGCCGGTCGACCACCAAAAGTTCAAAAAGTTCAAAAAAAAAGGTTTAAACCGGTAAAAAAAAAAAAAAATAAAATAAAATTTGCCGTTACCGGTTGACCGGCCGGTCAACCAACCGGTTGCCCAGCGCAAATTTGATGAAACAGATTTGATGTTGAACCGTTGGAGCGCGAAGTATCAAATTAAAGAAATAATCCCTTTTTGACTCAAATTTGGTGAGACATTTGGTACACCGTTGGAGATGCTCTAATCATTTCACTTTTTTTCTCACAAATATCACATCAAATCACAAAAAAATTTAATCATCTTCTCAAATACAAAAATTTTAACCTACTAAAATAACTAAAAATTAAAATAATTTATTAAAATAATAACTTCCCAAAGGAAGCATTGTAAAAAAAAAAAAAATAAAATAAAATTTGCCGTTACCGGTTGACCGGCCGGTCAACCAACCGGTTGCCCAGCGCAAATTTGATGAAACAGATTTGATGTTGAACCGTTGGAGCGCGAAGTATCAAATTAAAGAAATAATCCCTTTTTGACTCAAATTTGGTGAGACATTTGGTACACCGTTGGAGATGCTCTAATCATTTCACTTTTTTTTCTCACAAATATCATATCAAATTACAAAAAAATTTAATCATCTTCTCAAATACAAAAATTTTAACCTACTAAAATAACTAAAAATTAAAATAATTTACTAAAATAATAACTTCCCAAACGAAGCATTGTAAAAACAAGCAGACCCCGTGCGTGCATCAAACTTCGACCTTAAAAAAAAAAAAGAAAAAATAAATAAAATGGGGTGGGTCTGGGTGAGAGTGGTACACAGGAGAGAGCAAAGCGCAAAAACATGCGATTGATTTAACGAGCGAGTGCGTGTCGTTTTGGCCCCCCTCACTCACTCACTCACTCACCGGCCTCGGTAGTCCCATTCTTTGTCTTTCCCCCACCCCCTCGGAGTATGTGTGTGTATGTACGTATGTCTCTCTTTCTCCGTCTGCGCACTTTACCGATCCCTTGCATTTTCAGGTGCGCGGTGCCTCTGACGCCCATCATCTGAAACCCTAATTGCGAAGTCCACAACCCCTCCTTTCTCTTCAGAGGTAGGTATTCCGCTATTTCAAAGTTAAATGCACTTTCTCTGAGTTTGGTTGGAGATTTGGAAATAGATTTGAAAAGAAAAGATAAAAAGATACGTGGAATATGGTGAAATATAAATATATTTTATTTTGATTTCATCTATTTTTTTTTTCATTTCCGTTTCTAAATCTCTTCTCAAATCATAACCAAATCCAGCATTCAAGAAATTTGATTATTGAATTTTTAAATCTTGTTTCTGCAGATTCTTATTTATGCAGTTGAAGAATGGTGGTCCAGTCATTTCAATGCGGATTTGAAAATGGTATTACTAGTCCTAGTACAGACAATAATGGAGTTTCTGTTTCCGCTGATTTGATGGTTTCGAGGGTTTCCGAGGAGGGCGATATGATTAGCATAAAATGCGAGGAAGTTAGCGTCAACAATTCCCCAGCGTTAAAGAGAAGGGCCAGTGCTAGGATACAAAAGATTAAGACTGAGAAAGCTCTTCTTCGCCTTCGTGACGAGCAAGAGTCGTTGAAACATGTTGAAGAGAAAGTCAGTCGGAAGAAAACCAGAGTGTACGAGAGAAAAAAAGTGAGTGTAAGTCCTCTTCTTGTGCTTGATGATAACCACCATGCTTCTTCTGAGGCTAACAAAGTCAAGCCTGAGATCAAGTACTACAGTGCTAATGCCGAGGGCAGTCGGGGGGCTGCGTTCACAGAGGTTGCAGAGACTCAGACTCAGACCGAGACTGGGACCGGGACCGGGATTGGGGTTGGGGTTGAGAAAAGTGCATATGCCCTCGTTACCGAGACTTTGAGGACTTTTAACAAGCACTACCTTCACTTTATCCAGGTTTGTTTTCTCTTCTCATTCGCCCAAAATCATGGATCTCTAAGGTCATCTCCTGCCCTTACTCAAATTCTGAGTAACAGGCAGCTTCATTTCATTTACACTTGTCCAATGCCCAAACTCAAATTTGAGTATTAAGCTTGGTATATGGCACAATTGTAAATGTAGATATCTGTTTTATTTTATCACCCCAAATTGGAGTGCCTTCTGAAAGTTGAGTTAAAATAAGGGTCCCTTGATTCGGGTCAAAATTTGAGTAAAACTTATTTTGGTATGAATTTGTGTGAAGGAGGGGTGAATTTTTTTTTAAAGCATTTTTACTCAAATTTATATTTGATATGGGGTCAGGGGTTAGGATTGGAGATGCCCTAAGTGTTGTAGGGGCGGAGGCACCCCAAAATTTTGAAAAATTCCCATATTATACTAGTAATTAATTAGCAAGATAATTTTAAGATTTTATATGATAATTTTAATAATAGTTCTAGTCGGGATTTATCAGATATTAGCTTTGCTTTGAAAACGAGTTTATGAAATTTGATATCGCTTGCTGAAACAAATTATCCTACTGTTTATAGATTGATTATTGTGTTAATTTTACTTGGTTCAACTACAGACTGGAACATGCATTTTCAACTATGAAACTTGCCAGAACCAAACTATGTAGTAGGATGGAGGATGATTTTCTAGCTAATGACTTAATCAAATTTATTGAGCAATACATCGTGTAAGGTTTTGATGTCAAGTCTATCAAAAATGTTTTTATTTTTTATGTCATAATAAATTATCAAGTGCAAGTTCAGATGCTCAACTTTTGTAGATAGAGACATATAGCAATAGACAATAGTCATCGTTTTGCGTGAGTTAATTCAGACAAGAGATTATGTTCAATGGGATGATCATGTTCTTGATTAGGAGTTGCACGTGCTTTTGCTCCGCAAAGGTAAAATCATAGATTTATCCCTTGTACACCCCATTGGCACCTTCTTAACTTTTGATAACTTGCAAAAGAAGCCTTAAAAATTGGATTGGATACGGATCAGGATTCAACAATCCAACAAGATTTATTTATCAGGATCGAAAGATCCTTATCAGCCATAGACTTTTCACATGATCCAGATTGATTTTGCCCAAATGAATCGTAAGATCTGGAACTGTATTTTAACAACCATGACTCAAGAGTTTATGATATTTTTAAATTTTTTTCGCTTACAGTTGCTTGAAGAGGAAAAGAGGTGTAGAAGAGCAGAAGCTGATCGAAAAACAACAAAAGGTTCAAATTCTAAGGTTAGCGGCTACTTATTTTCTATTTGTTGTTGGCGGGGTTTGTATAGGTGGTTATTTGGATAATGTGATTTGTTATTCCAGCTAATTATCTTCTTGACTGATTTGTATCTCTTTATTAGATTTCGCTTGCTTTGGTTCTTGTTCCTTAATAAGTCATTTTATTGGATTTTGGATTTTCTAATTAGTAGTCTCCCTCGCTGAGATGGCAATTCCAATTATTTGACTTTATGATTGGCCATCAAATTAAAGGGGGTTGTTTGGGAAGTGGTAGATTAGTATACTTTTTGACTTTTTACGAAAAAATATGAAATGTGGGTTGGGGTTGAAGTGATGTGGTAGAGAGGTGAGGTGACTTGTCAGTATTTTATGATTCACACGATACAAATCTTACGATTCGATCAAGGTTGTTAAAATCAGGATCTTACGTTGGATCGTTGGAGGTGTTTACAAGATAGAATCATAGAATCGGAAACCAAAAAAGACAACTTACGTAATAATTTAATTTAAATAAACATTTCTTAAAAAACATACACAAAATGAGCCTATATTCTATTAAAAAGAAGTGAAGATATTGTGAAAAATATAATACTCCATGTAAAATGTACATATAATATAATATTATACAATAGAAAACTCAATGGTAAAAATTTTGTATTTCATCAAAAAAGAAAGTGAATAAGAATAATTTTATAACAAAATACTTTACAATTTACAATAATACATAAAAAGTGAAGAAAAAATATTTAACAAAATTGGAAATCAAAATAAATTGAGAACTCAAATGAGCGGCTTAACTAAATAATAAGGTTTGTTGTTAGCATTCATGGTGGAGCGGATTCGAGTCACAAAAATAGTCTTTTTAAAAATTAGGATAAAGTTGCAATCATCTTGCCTTCCTTAGACTTCACTAAAGTTAAGTTTATTTTTTCGATTAGTTCGTTTTCTTAAATTACCACAATATTTAAATGTTTTTTCTTAATTTGTTTTTTTTAGCCTATTTGATTCAATACTACTTAATTTTTATTATTTATTTTGACCACATAAATTGGTAACAAACATAAAATTTGCAATAAATAATATCGTATAATACAAAATAAGGCTTGTAAATTAGATCGGATAGGACCGGATTAGGATTCCACAATCCTATAAATCCCATTACCAGGATCGAAAGATCCTACCTATAAAGAATTTTTTGAACGATCCGGATCGATTGTACCCAAATGGATCGTAAGATTGTAGGATCATAAGACTTGGATCGGGGTTCTGATAACCATAGATTCGATACCTTTCAGAAAGATTATTACGTATCTTAAATTAAATGTATCTTATGATACATAAACGATACATGATGTGATATACGATACACGACACATAATGTGATACGTATTTTACATAAATACTTAAATTTCTTTAGCAAATTTGAAAAAAAAAAATTCAAATTATTTTATATAAATTAGTATTGTCGAAAAATTTTATTAACTTATTAAAAAAAACTATTTTTGAGATGAGAATGGTACTTTTTAGTTTATTTCTTGACCTTTTTGACATATCTATTGTATGGTTTAGGAATCTTGCATTATTAATTTATGCCTTGTGAAGATAATATATATTGCTGTATGTATATATTTAATTTAAGACACTTTGCTTTTGCAATTGACAGAATTATACATTGTTTAGTGTTTTATTCTCATAAGATATTTGTTTTTTTATTTTATTTTATATTTCTACCTATTTCTAAAGGTATTAAAGTATCTTATGATACATGATATGATACGCAATTCAGAAAAATTAAAAAACGGTCCACGATTCATATCTTGATTTGACAACAATGGATGTGACCCAAATAAAATGATGTAGCACATGCAAAACAAACACCTAAGTGGTATCCAATGATTGACTGTAGCTTGAGATTTTTTGGTATTGCCTAAAGAACATGTGACTTGCTAAGCTATAAGGCTACTTACTTGTTAAATAAATCTATTTTGACAAGCCCTGGCTTCAACCTTTTAGGGCCATGCTAATCTTGTTTTGCTATTTGACATTAACTAGGAAAATTAGTTATATTAAATCATGTGCCGACAATCACTATTGACTACCTATTCCTGTCTTGTTGAACAAGTCACTAAGAATTCATGTAATAAGAGTGTTTGGTGAACTATATTTCTTGGGATTTAAAGATTTTCATCAAATCATAATTTATCATGACAAGACGTGACAACTCCTGCCTAAAATACAATAAGTAAAAGACACTGCACACAAGAATTAATGATCTCCATGGTGCAGCCCTTGAAAGTTGTGGATAAACTTTTTGAGTGATAAGAAGCACATACCACTTTTGACTTTTTGCAAGCATATCTGCATCTTGTTTCTCAAAATAGTTACACCCTGATAAGGGGAAGACACAAAGAGCCCGTTTGGTTCAATTTTCAAATCCATTTTCCAAAACCTAAAACCCAAAACTTGTTTGGTTTTGGGTTTTCACAACATATATTTCAAATCCGTTTTCCAAAACCCAAAATTCAAAACTTGTTTGTTTGGTTTTCAAGTATTCGCCAAATAATTTTTTATGTTTTAGATGTATATGATCTACATGTACTTAAATAGTAAACAAAATGTGAAGAAACCAAAACAAATTTAATAATTACATAAATCATTAAACTTGTATTACTTTTTTAAACTGGGTGATTTTTTTTGTTTGTATATTTGTCATTATTCAGTAATTTTATAAAAGTTTTTCATAGATGTGAAATTTTTTAAATGTATGTAGCTTGAGTAGATATAAAACTAGAAAAGAAGTGTTAAAATTTCTAAACCACTCATAAAAAATAATAAATCACAGTAAAACTCTGCCGTATAGATTAGATTAGATGCATCTAAAAAGCATAGTTAGATTATGTATATGAAATAAATAAATAAATTTGACTATAATATTGTAAAAAAGTTGACTACAAGACAAAAAAACACAAGACCCAAAAAAACACAGACCCAAAAAAACTCAAAATTGAGTTTTGAAAACCCATAACCAAGCAAGTTTTGAATTCAATTTTCTAAAAACTATTTTAAAAATATACAACTCAAAAACTACTTTTGAAAACTCATAACAAAACAGGTTTTGAGTTTTCAAAACTCTTTTGAAAACTAATTTCAAGACTAAGCCAAACGGATTTGGAGTGAAGTCTTTTTCTTTTGTTAATACAGGTGACATGTTCAAGCCATGATAAGAAATCTACAAGACTACAACAGTGTTTCTTACCGATAAAAAGAACAATAATGTGTATTAATTAATTCCTAAATTTTTGGGCAACCTACATTACATAATGACAAAATTTGTTAGGGTAATTTGAATCCTGCCATGTTTGGAGACTGGAAATTTCCTTAAGAGCATCTTCTTTTAATTTTTTTTGAAATTCAACTCAGCAAAGCTTTGTTCCAATTATTTGAGGTTGGCTACATGAATTATGTCTTTCCATTCTACTTTTGCTCGATCTAAAGCCAGCATACCAATTAAATGATGTGCTAATATGTCTTTCCTTACTACCTCTCCTGTGGTAATTTTGGTTTCCATCAATCCCTAGCATTACTTTTAATGTGGACCAGACCATACCACTCTTCTTTATTAGTGTAGTTAGTGATCTTCGTTATACATGAATAAACCATTTAATCGATTTTCTTTGATTGTATCACTTATAAATGCTACTTGTACCATTTCACTAATTTGTTTATTCCTATTAAATTTATTCGTTTTACAATACATCCATCTAAGCATTTGCACATTTTGCATAATCGCATCCCAACCACACTCAATATGAAAATGTTTCTTATTTTCCTTACATTCTAAACGATAAAGCCCTGTGGTCTTATAGCCGTTGTGTAGAAATTTTCATTGAGTTTTATAGTTATGTATCTATCGCACAATAAATAGGAAGCATTTCTCCACTTGTTCCATCCTACTTTAATTCTATGACTAACACCACCACCATTCTCTCCACCATATGCATAATCAAAGCTTAGGTGCTGAAATTGTTCACTTTTCTGTATTTATTGGCCTTTGACTCTGACTACTCGCTCATGTACACTTCAGGTTTTATTAAAGTTGCGTAACATTTTTGAAATGCAGATTATTTTGACATTTGTTTGTTCTATTTTGCCATGTCAACTCACAGGCAACTATGAAACCAAATGAGATGCTGATTTCTGATTATTAATCCTTTTATTGTTCATAGATTATGTCAATGTATAAAATTGTGCAGAAAGGGAATGCGCCTAAAGATGATATGAAACGTGGTTCAAAACGACCTGATCTGAAGGCAATAACTAAGGCAAGTCAATCTTTGATGGGCTAAATACAATTCTGGCATTGTTCTGTTGGTGCTCCTTTTTAAGCAAAGTGCATTGTGTAATTCTCCATTGATGTTCTTACAGCTTGGTTATTTGTCTCTAGGTCACAGATTTCACTGCTCAATGCCTAAGCATGTTGCATAATCAAGTCTCATGTGGATGTTAAGAATTCTTGTTTTGGTTATATTTTAGATCATATCTCTGTGCATTTTTATATTAATGTATAAAATTGTGCAGAAAGGGAATGTGCCTGAAGATGATACAAAACTTGGTTCAAAACGACCTGATCTGAAGGCAATAACTAAGGCAAGTCAATTTTGATGGGCTAAATACAATTATGGCATTATGCTGTTGGTGCTCCTTTTTAAACACAGTGCATTGTGTAATTACAACTTGGTTATTTGTCTCTAGGTCACAGATTTCACTGCTTGATGTTTAAGCGTGTTGCATTCAATCCCACGTGGATGTTGAAAATTCTCATTTTGGCTATGTTGGTGTAGAAATAACTAAATAATTATGGAGTCAAAAAATAAATATGGGCATGAATCATCACCATGATATGACACCAAATTTACGGGGGTTATATTTTAGATCATCTCTGTCTGAATTGACCATTTATAGAAAGTGATTTTATGGAACTAATCATCAAGACACAAGGATTACAGTAAGCCCAAACGACTCACAAAGTACTTTTTTTTTTTTTTGTTCCCAAGTGCGAATTCAGTTGATATCCTACGCATGAGGTATTTAGTAAGCACTACAATAGTGTCTATTACTTAATTTAAATAATTTTTATTTTTGTTTTTAATTGAGGCCTTTGTTTTGTATTGAAGAGTTATTTTACCTCGTTGACATTCATGCATAAATTTTTGCTGTATTCTTTTTTAGTCCAAGTTTGTCTTTGAGTTTTTCTGAAGTCTATTTGTTAAGTAGGGAAATCTGTCAACATGTCACTGGACTATTGATGAGTTTTTTAGAAGGAACATTTCCTTCAGTTATTTATTTATTTATTTTGACAGCCATATATGTCTTCGGATTTTGGGTTTATGTGATAACTGAATATGTTAGTAAGCAGATTGACAGCATTATCATGTTCTTTTTCTGGTGTTAATCATGAATGATATTGGCTATGGTGTATTTCTAGAGGTTGATGATATTTAGGTTTGCTTATGCATTGCTCTGATGTAAAATAATAATGACTGTCCATAAAAAAAAAATTGTGGCAGATGATGGAGACCAATACTGTACTGTATCCAAGTAAAAGATTTGGCTCCATTCCAGGTTCGTAGCGTGTACTTATATTGTTTTCAGTCACATTTTGGGTTTAGTTTTGCTGTTGACTGGGGTGTCCATCATTAGGATTAATTTAGTTTAAGATAAGTTTGAATAATTTGAATTCAGGCATTGATGTTGATCTTGCTCTTATGATGGTAGGTATTGATGTTGGGCATCAGTTCTTTTCACGGGCTGAGATGGTGGTTGTTGGTTTCCACAACCACTGGCTGAATGGAATTGATTGCATTGGGAAAAGTGCTAGCAAGGTGATGCATTATGAAGAAGTGAATGAAACTACCATTGGGTCTTGAATGGTTTATTTTGTTCTTAAATTTTTATGTTCTGTGGAGCTCAGAATTTTAAACTTTGCTTGAGTTTATAGTTTTCTGTATATATCATCTGTTATTAGTTATCTTTGTCAAATTATGAGAATAATAGAAGTTCAAGGTTGTGGTCAGGATATTCATCTGAAGCTTAAGAAATGTGTTGGTTGGCTGAATAAGTAACTGAATGATTTTGTTTTGTCTTATTTTAGGTAATCCACTGGATCCTCAGATCTTAGAGTGATGTAGTTGGTCTTTGTTACAATTATTTGGTTTTGAATTGAAAATCAACTGTGATGGAATAGCAGTTTAGTCTTGAAATTCTAATTTTAGTTTTGGTCAATGCTTAAATTTCTTGAGATTGTTTGTTTCATACGTTTCATCTTCTGTACCAGCTTGATGCTGTCAGTGCCCTGTTTAGAAGTGCTCTACATCAGGGCTGATGGACGTGTATTAACAATTATATCTTTTAGTTACAGCAGACCGTGTTTTGGTTGTTTATTTCGCATGGTATAATCTTATTTTCTAAATCCCCTGTGGTTTTGTTGCTGATGTTATAAGAGCAATGCTAGGGACCCCCCAAAAAACCACCAAATATTCTACATAATACTCACATGGGTGCTCTAGCATTTGGGATGGGGAGAGTGGTGTACAGGTGAGGTGCGGCAGTCACATGGGTGAAGTTTGTGGAAGGGGATATGGTTAGGTCGGGAGGAGTTTTGGAAGAGGGTTTGTTTTTAGGTTGGGGTGGGGGTTCGGGTCAGGTTTTGGAAGGATAGGTGGTGTGGAGCAGAAACTCTGGCGGCAAGGTTTCCTTTGATTTCTCATATTGTTGTTGATGGGGAGGTGATGGTGGCGTTTTATGTGCATGTGTAAGGGCAAGTGGTAGTTTGGAATGTTGGCTTGCGCTGTGAGGTGCAGGATTGGGAGTTAGGGCAACTGGTGGATTTGTTGTGTTTTTTGTATGGCCTTCGATTTGGGGGGGAAGGGGAGGATACCTTGGGGTGGGTATGCTCGAAGTCCAAAGGGATTTTCTTGGTGTCCTCTTTTTATCATTTGCTTGTGGGCGGGGATGGTGCTCCATTTCTGTGGAAGAGTGTTTGGGTAGTGGGCTGTCCGCTTAAAGTTGCTTTTTTTGTGTAGACAGCGGTTTTAGGGCGTATTCTGACTATTGATAACTTGATTCGTCGTCGTCATATTTTAGTTAATTGGTGCTGCATGTGCTGTGGGGATGCGGAAACAGTAGACCATCTGCTTACCTATTGCTCGGTTGTTTCACGTCTGTGGATGTCTATTGTTGCTCTTTTTGGTTTGGTTTGGGTTCAACCGGGATTGACGGTGGAGGTGCCGCAGAGTTGGGCTGGGAAGAGACATTGGAAGGCGTGGCTGCTTGTAGGTCATCGTTTGATGTGGTTGGAGCGGAATCGGCGTGCCTTTATGGGCGTGACTTAGTCGGTTCCATGTTTGGAATGGCGTTTGCTTACTGTGCTACATAGTTGAATTACGGTTCTAGTAGATTTGGATGTGCTGACTTTTGTAGATTTTGTAGAGGATTTGATTAGTTAGTTGTTTTGGTTTTGCTCTTTTTTTGGGTAGCTTGTTAGCTAGCCCTTTAGTTGGTTTTTGTATTCGTTGCATCGCCTTGATGCTTTTTCAATAAAGTTTGATTATTTATCAAAAAAAAAAAGAAGAAAGTATTAGGCCATTCCTTGACTGAGTTTCAATCTTTGTCTTTATAAGGCTAGTTGTCATTGTCACACAATGAAAAGCCATTTAAGTTTTTTCTTGGATTTTGCAGGACTACAGTGGCTACACATTACCACTTGCAGTTTCCATTGTTTTGTCTGGACAGTATGAGGATGATCTGGATAACTGTGAAGATATTGTTTACACTGGTCAGGGTGGGAATAATTTACTTGGCAATAGACGACAAATACAAGATCAAGTAATGGAACGTGGTAATTTGGGATTGAAGGTGTGTACCTTTGAGTTCTCATTATTTGGACCGTTTTTCTCTTGTTTGTTGTTGTGTTATGCATTGGTCCATTCTAATTTGGCCTTATACATTGTTGGCAATTCTTTGAACTAAACATGTGGTGAGCTGTGAGCAGTTTCTGTTTCTTTTGTTCCTTTATGTTAAGCTGCCTTTATGTTCGTTATGGGAAAATTCATTTGTGTACTTCAACCTTGTGACTGCTTTGAACCTTGAACTTTTACTTGAAGAGTACTAGGAGTTGTTAAAGAGATTTTGTTTCTTATATCTTATCGTAGTCGGTCTAAAGACTCTTAAGTCTTAACCCCTTGGAAAGGATGAAGTCTTGTTGTTTAGGTAATGACTTGTAGAGAATTCCTTTTCAGATTCTTAAGAACATGTTGGGCATGAGATGGGAGAAAATAGATTAAGATGGTTGGTCATGTACAATGAGACTAGTATCTGTACTGCTGTGGTGTGATATGATATGATCCAAGCCAAAGCTTGTATGAGGATGAGGTGAAGATGAAAATGGATGTTGTTTAATTTAATGAGAGAGTTGTTGGCCTATGGTTTAACAGAAACCATATGTTTTGATTGGAGGTAATAGGTGTTTCAAAATTCATGTAGGTAGGCCTTGGACTTGTCACTTGGGTAAAAAAGCTTTGTTAAATTATTCAAGCTGTTACAAAATTAAAAGAACACTTCGCATATTATTTCTTTACTTTCTGTGCTTACGCATTGGAGTTTGAAAACTAGTGACTTTTAGGTTATTATACTAGCAATGTGATAGAAGCCTTTAATGCACACACTAAAGAAAGGTAATTTATAGTGGAAGAAAGGGCAATGTTTAGACCTTCAGAGATCTTGAAGGACAAGTTGGTCTACAGCCTACACCTTATGTGCATGCTTGCTGGTAAAATGCTATTATGCAATAAATTAGATCTTAGAGGGGTTTGGGAGCGGGCTTTGGATCTGGAGCACTTAGGCTTGTTACATGTTTGTGAAATTTTCTATTTTATGCCACTATGGGGATGGGGTTGCAAGGTGTTGTCTTTTCTGAAAAATGTTAATCATGAAGTTTATTAAGTGCAGAATTGTATGGAGCAAGGTGTGCCTGTTAGAGTTGTTCGTGGCCATCAGTCCGCAAATAGTTACGTTGGCAAGGTTTACACATACGATGGCTTATACAAGGTAGCTAACTGGAACATACTCCTTAAAAATTTTAACCCTTGTTTTTCTGCAATGCTTTTTCAAGTTTCACAACTTTCTTTTGCATTGCGATGGAAAAGTTGCATTCATGTTTCAGTAGACACCAGGAGTTATTATACCATTTCTGATAGTCATCTACTATTTTTATTTTATTTGGGGAACGCAACAAAAATTTGGGCCTGGATTGCACATTGATATGAATAGTTTAACATTGCATTCCTATGTATATATTAGTTTAATTATTTTGTTTTATTGTGTCTTGGATGACATTATTCAGCTCTGGCATCCTAGGAAGGTGCTGTTGAAATCACCAAAGAAATGTCTTGTGTTGAAAGTGAAAATATGCTCCATATAATTCATACACCCTGGAACCACTGCTTTCTGTAGAAATGAAACAGAGAGCACCATTTTACGGATTGAACTAAATATGTGGAATTGAATGGGCAAAACTAGGTCTGAATTGGAAATTACTTCAAGCCTCCAAAATTAGTTACTATCAGCAACTACTACCAGCACTGGAGGGCATCAGCTATGACGTCACAGAACTGGTACCAGCATTGGACAGGTTTATGTGGGCATCAATACAGTCCTATTGACAGGCTATGGTGTGGCTGGTTTGGTGTTTCGTTGCTTTTGGAACTTCTGAATGAAGAAATTTAGGCATGTTTGTTTATCCCCCATGTTTGTTAAATGACTCCAGATATGTGCTGCTATGGGATTTATATCCCCCAAAATGGGGGATAAGCAATACCACCCCCACCCACAGCCCCTATGGTCTTTCTTATCCCACATGATGGGATGAGGTACTCCTCTCCATCCAACTGCCAGAAATAAGCTTCCCTCTCATAGCTTATGCTATATATCCTTCCCTAATCAAATGTAGTACAAGCATGGCCATGCTATATATATAATCTCATCCAATATCTTGTCCATAATTCCTAGGTATTACATATTCCCCTAATCCTCAAAAATCATATCCGGCAACCAAATGGGGACATAGGGAAGAAGAGAATAAAAGAGAAGGGGAGAAAAGGAGAAGAGAAAGCACAATGAATTGGGAGAGAGAGAGGGAGCGTGCAACATTGGTGATATGAATTCCGTTGAAGCATTTTGAGTTATAATTGTAGCAGGTTGAAGATGAATTCAAGTGCCTCTTATTCTTATATACCGTGCTTTTGATTGCTTCAAGAACATCTTTGGTGGATTATCTATGTTGTATGACATTCCTTTATTTCTTTTACATGCATAGTATTTCTTTTGTGGCGTTTTTTTGTGCACATATGTTGGAGAACTGCATGACTTTGTTCATTAATTTTGCAGGTTGTTAATTACTGGGCAGAGAAAGGCGTTTCTGGATTTACTGTTTATAAGTTTCGATTGAAGCGACTTGAGGGCCAACCTCTACTGACTACAAATCAGGTTTTTATTTTTTTCGTACTAGTCCTTAAAAGCCTATGTTCTCCTTTTATGATATTGGCACAAGTCTTTTGCTGGTGGAGCAATTAAATATTTTTTGTGCAAAATGTAACTGGATCTATTATTACTTAAAAATATTGATATATAGTGGTAAGTTTCTTTCTGTGTAAGGGTAACTAAAACTTTTAGTTTCCCTTAAAACTATCAACAGTTCTATATTGAAAGCATTGCACCCGATAAAAATACTGTATTATTGATTGTTGTATTTGATGTATATTATTGATATTACAAGGATTCCTATTATATAGAAGAGGATTTGGGTAGTAGGTGAGGAGTAGGTGAGGGTAAATTGGTGGTAGGTGTAGTAGGTGTGGTAGTAGGTGGTGGTAGGTGTAGGTAAATTCTAACATTCTAGTTGTCAAGACACTTGGATGAATATACAACTTAAACACAGATATATTTGCTGGTACCATAGGCATTCTCTTGTTCTCAAAAAATATTCCAGGCTCTTAATTGTGAACGAGTATCCACTTTTGGACTCTCTCAGTTCTTTTATGGTTAACATAAACATATTAACATATTAACATTTGGCAAACTCTAATTCTATATGCATGTGCTCCAGTGTAATTGTAATTTTTCCTAAATATTTTTTCTTTTGTCTGGAATGCAAAACACAGATGACGGGGTTGTTGGTAGAAAATAGTTTAGCCCCTCTTAGTATCAACACAAGTTTTGAGAGTTTTACATTTTCTGTATGGGTCCAGACATGGAATGATATGATAAGCCGACCCTTGGTTACTGATTTTCAAAGCCAGTTCTATTTGGCACTCTGGACACAATATATATATATATATATATATAATGTTGTCTGCTAATAAGATTAATTCTAATTGAACACATAGTGGTTAGCACTATGGTTAATGATTGGCCAAATCGATATCTACTAGTGACTTTTTCTTAGGCTTGATACTTTTTTTCTTTTTGCTTTTGTTTTTGTTTTTTTTCCTTCCAAGTTTAACTGGCTCCTATGGGAAAATTTTAGTGGCTACTTTTGTAGTAGTGGACTTCTGTCTCCACGTGGTCTAGTTTTCCTGTGCTTTTGTATTGGATTAAACCTACCACTTATTATTGTCTAGTTCCTCCTAATCCCTCTTCCACCTGTCAGGAATCCTTCTTTCAAATATATGATTTCAAATTTTCAATGTAATACACCCGATTTTTTGCAGGTTTTTCTTCCCTTACTAGGAAAGCAGTATAGGATGGATTCAAAGCATTGATGGACTGTTTTTTACAATTCAAATTGAGAAGTGATCCGTATAATGTGATAAATATGTTCCCTTCTGTGAACCTGTAACTGTTTCTATTTGTTTTTCCTTTGAGTGAATGCGAAAAGCATCAACAGGTTTTGTGATGTAGAACAAGACTTAGAATTTTTATATTTATTATTTTGAAATTAGCTTTTGACTAGGATTTGCTATTTAAAGCCAACTAGTTGTATGGCACATATTATGAGATGGAGATCCTGGGTTTAAGTCTCTTTGTACGTGTCTTTACTCCATTATGTTTGCTAGTATGTGCCCTATCTGTGTATTTGTGCGCCTTACTTTGCATGATAATTTTTCTCTCTACATGCGAGAGAGGATTACACTGTAGGAGCGAGGGTGTTCTTAACAATGTGATGATGTTCAATCTTAGTTAAGATGTTGATTTAAATATAAGAGGAGAGTGCTTTTTGAGTGTTATATGCTAAGAAACACGGACACGGATGCTGATATAGAACATGATAATTTAAAAAAAATGGGGACATGGACACGGCGGGGATATGACAATAAAATATGTTTTCATATATTTTTATTTGCTATCTAGATTAATATTACATCCACAAACAATCAATGTTAGCAAAAACTAACTCTGATTTTATATTGTTTTTTTTTAAAAAAAACTTTTAAGTTAACACTTACAGTTTATATCTTTTTTTTATGGATGATATTTAAATTTAAGAAAAAAATAATAAACATTCAACATTTATTAGAAGTATTAAAGAAAATGAGGGAAAACACAACCTGGGATGTCCTCGGTGTGTCCCCTGGAAATAAATTAATTAAATAAGGGGACACATTATGTGGCGTGCTCTGTGTGCCCCCGCCATGTCCGTGTGTCCAACACAGATACGACACTTGTTTTGAAGTGTCGGTGCTTCATAGGTTATATGTTTGGCCCATTTCCCACCCTTTTTTTATGACGAAGAACTCCTCCAAGGTCGGGTTGCAGCCACTCATAAGCCACAAGTATTGGGTAAGCCGTAAGACAAGATGTTGCCAGCAGGTGTTGAACACCAAACCGCCGGGCTTACATTTGGTCCCAGTGACAACCTCACCTGATGGAACTGTTTGTCTAATATTGTATCAAAGCTTTGGTTTTGGGAGGTCTTGGGTTCAAGTCTCTCCATTTGTCCCTCATTATCGTTGTCCATGTGCATTTACTTCTGGTTGTTTTTGCACTCATCTTGCTTGTTTATCTCTTCATGTGCAAGGGGGCCAACACATTTAGGGGAAGTGCTTGATCATGATTTACATTGTTTGGCCTATTGCCTAACATCTTATGATTTTGGGGCTAGTGGCCTTTGATCTGTAAATTAGGATACTCATCTAATACACTCGTCTTATGAAAGTTCGAAATCAGCATTATGAGTTTTGTCAATGTGAAAGGGCTAATTTTGAAGCTTTACTGGTGAATTCACTATATTATTTCCTTGAACATTTTTTTTTTTACATTATCAGCTTTGATGGCATTATAAAACTTATTGGCATCCATTGGTTTTATTCTTGTCTGTGTGCTATTTTTGATTAGATACCTTTTCAGCATCATCTTTTCTTGGCTCGTATTTGTTGGACTTGCTGAAATATTTTCTTCATATATGTTATTTTTTATTGTTTTCAATCTTTGAACATATTTTAGATCAGTTTAATTGTTACAAAGGTTATATGACGAGCCAGTGTACCTTCTAAGGATTTATCAATTTTATTTTTTGATTTTTATGGCAGGTTCAATATTTTCGAGGTCGTGCCCCTAACTCAATTTCAGAGATACGTGGGTACAAAAAGGAACTGTTTTATTATTGCATCTTATCACTTTATAGTTGGTTATCAATATGAATATAAAGTGTGACTCGAAATTTCTATTTTAATGAATAAGGTTGGTATGTGAGGACATTACCAGGGGCCAAGAGGATATTCCCATCCCTGCTACCAATTTGGTTGATGACCCACCTCTTGCACCCACAGGTAAGTGTTTGATTTTGTTTGCAAATGTATCATCAAATAGTTTTATTTTTTTTAATGTTTGATGACTTCCATATTATCTTGTCTCTGCTTGACCTGACACATTTTCTCCATTTGGTTTTGAACTACAGTTTTTTAAGATTTGTGGTTATGAAAATGCCTGCGCTTATTTTTCCTTACCAGTTCCCAATGAAGTGGCCTAATTTTTTTACGGTGGGCTAGTTTTCCAATGGTGAGAAAAAGACGGATTTGGTTGAAAATTGTTGAATGTAGACATGATGGAGCTGAAACTGGTGAGAAAAAGGTGGATTTGGTTCCAATTCACCTCGCCTTTTCATCTGGGCCTTATTTTTTTTTTTAAATATTAGGAGAGGAAGAAAAAGGGATGAAAGTGAAATCTGCAAAAGTAAAATAAAATAGAGGAAACTAAGCCAAAAAGGAATGGAGTTCCTTATTAAACATTCCAGTCGGGGTGTAATCCCCTACCTAGAGAAAGGCGAACTGACTGGGGGAGAATTGATGCATACATGGAGAGAGAGATTAAGGCTGAATCGAGAAGACAAAGTCTTTGTTATGATGGCCAGGCTTTGTGTCGATGAATTAAATGAGGAAGATGGTGTTTATATACTTCCTCAAAACTTCATGAGAATACAAGTTTCTTTAACTGTGTAGTGTTGGCAAGATTTTTGAGTTGAATTTGGTTGAGGTAATTCAAATGAATGGATTTGAGTTTTAATGATTCAAGGAATATAACTTATGGTTTAATATCATACAATTAGATTTCACCAAGATGCATGGTGTGGATGGTTTGTGATGGGTAGCTGGATGTGACCTTGAAAGTTGGCGGGCACTGAGATGTCTGTGAACCATCGGAGGTTAAGGAGTTGAAATCTTAGGTGACCTTAGTGAGAGATTGAATGGTAGTGGAGAGGTCTTGCTTCTTGCCGGAGATGGAGAAGGTGGTTGAGGGTGGCTAGCCATGCTCCAAATGTACACATGGAGGCTCCTTAAATAGGATTGTCAGATATGTTTGGTAGGATACATTATTTAAGATTTCACACGTCTTGAGTCAAAGCTCCTTTCTCTTTAAGGCCAGTGTAGGTGGGGCTATCTCGAGGAGGTGGGCTGAGCGAACTTGATGATTCCTTAACTCTACCCTCCAAACCACATACCTTCAGGCTCGTATGGCCCTGAACGAAGGGGTTCCTAGGCATTGTTCCCTGCTTAGGTGACCGTAGCTGGAAATGCCTTGAATTATGTGGGAGATAACTTCATTGAAGAAGTGGAAACGAGATGTAAGAGAGCCACTGTCTGATAGAGGATCCTTTGTCGAGTCAGTGTCAGTGGAGTGTTGTCAAGTAGCGGTGGTCAAGCGAAGATGCCTCAACCTATTCAAGCAATGCTTTGGACCATGCTTCAGGGTGCCCTATGGTTTGGTTTATTCCATGGTGCCATGGATTGAAGCTAAGGTGGCAAGCATGTTGGTTGGCCAGGCCACCATACTTGGTGGTTCTTGTTCCCCTACTAAAGCTAGGCTCATGGACTCAGTAGTCTATGTAGGAGATGTCATGGCAATAGGATGGTTTATTACTCGGAGATGATGCAGTGCCTGTGAGGCCAACCACATGGTAATGGCTGTTTAGATATCCACACATGGACAGATTTGAGTGGCTTATGAGTGGATTTGAAATGACAAGGTGAAAGGAAGCTATATGAAATCCATGCTATGATGTGTTGCAATTGTGTAAGGATCCTGGTATCCCTACTTGATTTACCTCCTTAAATCTCCTTATTTGGTTAGTGCCTCTTAATGTAACTCCAATAGTAAATCCCCCTATATATTTGTAATTTTATGCCCAAAACCTCTTCATTTCAATTGCACCCCCCAAACTCAACCTCAAGGTATATATATATATATATATTTGTTTTGCATGTCTATTGGATTGTCCACAATTTTCGTCTATTTATTAGTATGTAAAGAATTAAACTTTTGTCTATTGGATTGAGAGTATCTGATGTTTATAGCCTGTAGTAACTCTGAAATTTATAGTTAACTACCTATTTTGTTGGTAGAAGTGAATTTTGGTAGCTGATATACTTAAGAGTGATACAGTAAGGGAGAAGAACGAGAGAAGAAGAAACAATATACGACTATTAGGAGACACCCAAAAAATTAGGGCTCACTACGATAAACACATGTATTTATATTAAAGTGCTCTGAAGTATGCAATTTTCCCTTAAGACTACTAAATGCATAACATCTTACAGATGCATAGCAGGGTTCACCTCTGCTAGGCTGCCTTGAACCAAAACCATTTACTTCTGTTAACCTTTCAGCATCTATATATATATATATATATTTGTAGTCCTTTACTGATTGTGTTCTACATATTTGTGTTATATATGTTGTCTGTTGGTGACCAATAATTACTGAATCTTTTAGTTCTGATTGAATGCCTATTCTATCTCTCTCTTGTTCAGTTAGCTCCTCTGCTGCTTAAATCTTAAATCTCTTTTGGAGTTGAATTCTTAAAAAATATCAGGTTTCACATATTGCAAAAGCATTCAAGTAGCAGAAAGCGTAAAGCTACCCAAGAATACCACAGGATGTGATTGCAAAGGCAACTGTATCAATCCCAAGAGTTGTGCTTGTGCTAGACTTAATGGCTCAGACTTTCCATATGTGCATCGCAATGGTGGCAGGTAGGAAAAAAATAGATATTACAGTCATAGTTTAGAAAGAATATGTTAAAATGCATTTAATCATAGTTGTCAATATGGATAACGGTAGCGGGAAATAAAAACGTGAAAAATGGTCCATAAATATTATGGGTAATGGAAAATTCTATTATTTTATTTTATTTTATTTTATTTTATTTTATTTTATTTTATTTTATTTTATTTTATTTTATTTTATTTTATTTTATTTTATTTTATTTTATTTTATTTTATTTTATTTTATTTTATTTTATTTTATTTTATTTTATTTTATTTTATTTTATTTTATTTTATTTTATTTTATTTTATTTTATTTTATTTTATTTTATTTTATTTTATTTTATTTTATTTTATTTTATTTTATTTTATTTTATTTTATTTTATTTTATTTTATTTTATTTTATTTTATTTTATTTTATTTTATTTTATTTTATTTTATTTTATTTTATTTTATTTTATTTTATTTTATTTTATTTTATTTTATTTTATTTTATTTTATTTTATTTTATTTTATTTTATTTTATTTTATTTTATTTTATTTTATTTTATTTTATTTTATTTTATTTTATTTTATTTTATTTTATTTTATTTTATTTTATTTTATTTTATTTTATTTTATTTTATTTTATTTTATTTTATTTTATTTTATTTTATTTTATTTTATTTTATTTTATTTTATTTTATTTTATTTTATTTTATTTTATTTTATTTTATTTTATTTTATTTTATTTTATTTTATTTTATTTTATTTTATTTTATTTTATTTTATTTTATTTTATTTTATTTTATTTTATTTTATTTTATTTTATTTTATTTTATTTTATTTTATTTTATTTTATTTTATTTTATTTTATTTTATTTTATTTTATTTTATTTTATTTTATTTTATTTTATTTTATTTTATTTTATTTTATTTTATTTTATTTTATTTTATTTTATTTTATTTTATTTTATTTTATTTTATTTTATTTTATTTTATTTTATTTTATTTTATTTTATTTTATTTTTTTTATTTTTTTTTGAGACAATAAAATAAAGAAAGGAAAAAAAAAATAATTAAATTTGAAAGCAAACGTAGGAGAGAGAGGGACAAACTCAGGTGGATGGCATGATAAAAGAAAAAGCAAAAGAAATAAAAAAAGAGAAAAATGCAAAGTGGAGACAAATTGAGTGGAAAGTATATATATATATATAGAAAAGAAATGTGATGAGAATGTAGTCACTCGGAGGAATAAGGATAATAATAAAAAAATTGAAATCATGGAGTGCATGTGTATCTGGTCTTTCTGTTTTGTTTTGTTGGTGGTGTTTTTTTTTTTTTTTTTTTTTTTTTTTTTTTTTTTGTTCTTCAACACCCCAAACCCGAGAGAGAGAGACAGCTCCCTCTAGAAGAGAGAGAGTTACGGATGCATGGTGTGTGTTGTGTTCTTAGAGAGAGAGAGAGAGAGAGAGAGAGAGAGAGATAAGCAGAAGCAGTTTTCCTTTGCCGGAAGATGACAGCAGAAACAGGTACTGCAATACCAATGCTGAAAATAGTGAAGACAGCTAGGCTCATCCTCAGCTGCTGATGCTTCATTCTGTCCAAGTTGGACATGTGTTTTGCATGAAGGTAGTACGGTCCATCATGACCATGGCCAAGAAGGGATGGTGTCTGCGCTCTCTCTCTCTAAACCGTGTGGGTGAATCTGGAGGGTGCTTCCGGCGGAGGTGGTGGGGATCTGGAGGGTTCCGCCGACGGACATGGCGATGGCGGGGACAGTGCCGGTGGCAGAGATGATGGAAGGCTCGGCGTGTTCCAGCAACCACCGGATGGTCTCGCCGTCGGACTTGTGGCGGAGGGTTAGTTGGAAGATCCGGGCGGCGCAGGTGGCGGGATGTGTATCTTTGTTTTCAATCAAACTGCCGAGATCGGGGATGAAGAGTGACCAAGATGAAATTGGATGCTGCAAGGGGATTGGAGTATTTGCATGAGAATTATATATTGTTGTTGTAAGGGGATTGGAGTAATCAATAATACATACATCAATTTTAACACGATCAATTAAAGTACTAATGCTACACAATAATTATATATTGTTGTTGTAAAAAAAGATTTGTGATCATGAAAAAAATATTCTAGTTGGTCAAAGTTTGTTAACTTCTAATTATAGAATCGTAGTCCTTGTGAATTCTTCTATGACATTCCTATCGTCAACCTTGTCATATAAATGTGAATGTGATCTTTATTTTGAATAGAGATTTTAGTTTTGAGAATTTGACTGTATTTGTGAATTTTCCTAACCCTTGTGAGGGTGAACAGCCTTTTCCCTCTCTTCTTCTCCTTTTTTTCTTTCTTCTTTTTAGTGCGAATAACTTGAGTCCTATTCTCAGCTTTCAAATAGGACACTTTTCACCCCCCAAACCCCTATCCAATCATGCCCAAAGCAACCCTAATCTCTTCTTCTATCTATTAAACCAGTAAGACCCCAAATTACTCATTGTTTAGGTCCTTAAATAGCCTCTGTTATGAAAATTCAGTAAGCTGGAACTTTCAAAAATTAAACCAATCTCATACCTGTTCATCTCCAAACCCTAGAAACTTTATTCTCTCTCTCAAAACCCTAGAAGCTTTCCAGAACCAAAACCCACCACTATTCCAATTGTAGGAAGGCTTAGGTCAGGTTCCTAAAACTGTCCTACATCAATGCGCTAACAAGAAAAGAAGAAAAATTCAGAATTTCATCTAGAGCTTGCTTAAATATTGGTGGAAGCATAGTCTTCTAGATATTCTAGAGAGAGGTGGTGGTGGTAGGTGGTGAGGTGGATAGAAGAGGCAATAGGTTTATTTAGTGAGTGAGCTCAGTGCTTGGGTTAAAAGCAGGGTTAATGGGTTAACTTAGTGAGTGAACTCAATGGGTTGAAAGGTCCATTTTGCGCCTGAACCTTGGTTGTGTGCACCGCATGTGACCATTTTCCATCCAGAATATGGATGGCCATTATCAATTGTCTGTCCAGAATACGGTTTAACATGCAGCAATGATGTAGCAAGATTTATATTGCTGGAAGAAAACAATTTAGGTAGCAATTTCTTTTGTATATTATGCTTGTTTGACCTTATATATATATATAGTAGTCTTATTTACCTAATGGTTGTGTTGACTTGTACTTCCAGATTAATTGAACCTAAGGCTGTTCTGTTCGAATGTGGTCCATATTGTGGTTGTGGTCCTGACTGTGTCAACAGAACGTCTCAGAGAGGCCTGAGATATCGACTCGAGGTTCTATAAACATAACCATACTATACTGTCCATAGTGTGGCTAGACTCGTCACTATACTTTGGCTTCTACATGTGTTTGGATTTTAATACCTGAACTGTAACAGGTTTTCCGCACTCCAAAGAAAGGCTGGGGTGTGAGATCTTGGGATTATATACCTTCTGGGGCACCAGTGTGTGAATACACTGGAATTCTGATGAAGACAGAAGAGATAGATACGGCACATGAAAATAATTATATTTTTGACATTGATTGTTTACAAACAATGAAGGGCCTTGATGGAAGAGAGGTATGGATGTGGCAAAACTATAGACTTCAGAATACCTGTATTTCTTTTTCTTTTTTTTTCCTTGTCCAAATTTGGTGGTGGAGTTATCTCTGTTAAAAGCTGTATATTTTTCTTTAAATATAGCTTTTGCTTAATCTTGGAAATTGATGAGTAAATGCCATTTTTTTTGTTCTATGCAGTATTGCTTTTGTTTTCATCTCTTGTTCCATTTGTTTGAAATTTTGCTACTTGATGTTTGGTTGGCATTATCTAATTGTGTAGAGGGCACATTAAACTATCATGTTGATGCAAGACAGATACTTAATCTATCCAGATTTCACCCTGCTTTCTTTTTTGTATGTTACAGCAGAAATTTTGTGGTTCATTCCATGTTTATTAGCATGTATGCTCAAGTTGTAGTTGATCACACCTTTTTTTGTGTTGTTAAATGGAATATCTTGGTAGCTTCTATGATATCATCCTCAAAATGCGCAAGATTTAAATGTTTCTGCCAATGTTGCAATAGGAAGTGTTTGGTATCTTTTCCTGTATGTCAATAATATACTCTAATGTTCTATCTCAGCACACCCTCTCTCTTTCTCTCTCTCTCTCTCTCTCTTCTTTTTTCTTTTTTTAAGGAAAGAGCAATCTATTAAATGAAGGGGAAAAAAAAAAATACTGATAGACCAAACAGCCAAGGACTTACCTTAGGGAGCATACTTCTTTTCCCTCGTGAAATCACATTTGAAGCTGATTATGTGGTAGGCAGGTACCTTTTACAAGTAATTTTGAAAATGATGAAGATGGAGATCTTACTTAATATTCTCTCTGACTCATTTTTTTTTTCTCCTTGCCTTTTTGGAATGACCCAAAATGATTATCCTCTTTGAAAAGTCAAGGACTCAAGGTATATGATCATATCTAATATTGTCCTCTATAGATGAATGTGAAATAAAGGGCTCTGGAAATTAATACACTAACTTGAGTGGGGAAAAAAAAATGCTAAAAGTAGGATTTTTAAAGATGAAGGTGGACCTTAGGCTGAGGCCTTGAATTGGAGACGGGAAATTGTATTTCTTTGTGTTTTTGAGTTGTGATTCAACTCACTCTGGTCAGTTTGTTTGAATCTGAATTAAGAACTGGTTATTATTATCAATATGTGATTGTTTGTGGTCCCAAAATCAAACTAATGGTGTTACAGATCACTGTTTTCAGTATACAACTTGAGGTGGGTGGGTATTTTCCATTTCATAATGACCATGCAAGTTCTAAATTTCTAAATCAAATGGTCACTTATCCTAAAACTGCACTTGATAGAAAAGGTGAAGAAAGTAAATTACGATAAAGACACAATTGTTGGTAATTGTCATGAGGTCCTTCCACTGACTTTGTGTAGAGAATGCCACTTGGGCAATTATCTTTGGCTTTAAGCATGCTGTTACTAATTTTTGATGTTCATCTTCAAGGATATTGATGTTGAGTACCTGGTTTCTTCACTCAATTTGGTTGCTGCCATGCTATAAGATTCTCTCTTTTTCTTCTTCTTCTTCCTCCTTTTTTTCCCCTATTCTCCATTAAATTTGTATTAACTGACGTTTTTTGAACAGAGACGATTGCGAGATGTATCTATACCCACATACTTGGATAGAAGTGATGATCATAAATCTGACAGTGTGCCAGAGTACTGCATTGATGCAGGTTCCACTGGGAACATTGCCAGATTCATCAACCATAGTTGCCAGCCTAATCTTTTCGTTCAGTGTGTTCTGAGTTCGCACCATGATATCAAGCTAGCTAGGGTGGTTCTATTTGCAGCGGACAACATACCTCCATTAAAGGTTCTCTACACACTCTTTATGTGGTTTTTCTAAATGTTCTTTCCCAAAACCTTGTGAGTCCATGTTCCTAACATGTAGTTGATCAATCTCTGACATTACTCAGTACAAAATTCTACGAATTTAAAAATGTTCAATCATTGCTGTTAAACACCTATTCTTTGTGATCTTTGATCTAATAAATGATGTGGTCCTAGATATACTTATCGGAGGAAAAAAAAAAGTGTAGTCCTTGATACAGCTCATAACTTCATACTCGAGTAGGTGTTGTGCAAGCTTTCTCTAAGTCCTTGAGCTGTGTTTGGTTGGGAGATTTGTGAAGAGATTTAGAAAGGGAAAGGGAAAAGGTAGGTGAAATGTGAATAAAATATATTTACATTTCATTCAGGGTAGTTTGAGATGATCTAAATGAGTTCACTTTTTGACTTTTATTGAAATATGGGTTAGGTATGGGTTGGGTTTGAAGTGATGTAGTAAAGAGGTGATGTGACTTAAATAAGATGATATGACTTAAATAGGATAGTGACTTTTCGACTTTTTAACTTTTTTAAGTTATGACAAACAAGGCCTTAGTTTCACACTTTTTTCCTTTCGCTTTCCAAATCGCTCCTCAAATCCCCCAACCACTTGGGAATGTACTATATAAAACACGTTACACTTCTATTCCATGTACTAAATTAAGCTATTTGACAATTGTTGTCGAGTAATGCTATATATATATATAAAAATAGATTTCTCACCATTAGACACAAAAGGTGGTAGAACTCGTGGATTTGAAAGTATCATGCTTCATTGTGAATCTTTAAAATTATTTACAGAGAAATTATTTTTGTATCTAGATGTATGGTAAATCAATCAAAACTAGGTGGTCTATTTTAGACAATACCAACAACAAATCATGCACCATGTTTCCACATATGAAAAGTATCTGCCTTGAAAAGTTTTAGCCTTTCCACACAGACAATTCTGCAGAAGGATATTCTACGAGTTTCCTGTCCAATGATAATTTTTTTGTTCTTTTTGGCTGCATGGGCTTGACTATTGAAAATTGCCTTCATTAGACTGCTTGGATTATATTGAGTGGATAACTAACTCTTTTTGATAACTAACTCTTTTGGATTATATTGCCTTCATTAGACTGCTTGAGTATGATAACTAACGCTTTTTTTTCACCCTTTGATTATCTGTAGGAGCTTACATATGATTATGGTTATGCCGTTGATAGTGTGATGGGTGCTGATGGTAAGATTAGACAAATGGCGTGTTATTGTGGTGCAGCAGATTGTCGGAAGCGCTTATTATAAGTGGTTGTTTTGTTGAGACTAACTAGTACATGTTTGTGACCCTGCTCTTTCCTGTTTGAACGTATACTGTTGAATGGTAAGCATCTATTTTGCCCAAAATTCCTGGGGATTGAATATGTAGCAGTAAGTAGTTGCGGCTGTACTATTCTTGACAAAATCATGAACTGTTGTAGTTTATATTAACCTTTCCACCCTTTCTTCTCTGTGGGGTTTTCCATATTGAAATGCCACAGATGAAAAACATTATTACTTGTGTATTTAAATGAAAAAGTAAATATGATGTGGTCACGTTATGTACTTTCAGTCATGGGTGGGGTGAACTATTTTTTGAAAATTGTTTTCAGAATATTATAAACGTTATAATTTTGAAAATGATAAATTATATAAATGGTCACTGTAGTTTACACGATGTGTCAATTTGGTCTTTATATTGATCTAATAAATAACGGCCGTTATGTTTGGTGAATGGAAACTTAAATAATGTGTCAATTTAGTCTCTATAGTTTACATGATGTGTCATTTTAGTCTCTGTTGTTTTAATTTGTTCGATTTTGACAGGGATCAAATGGACATATCGTGTAAATTATATGAACTAAATTGACATATCATTTGAGTTTTAGTCTACCAAACTTAATAGTTGTTATTTATTGGATCAATATAACACAATCGGTTAAATTAAGGGTGTAAAATTGAGTAAATTAAAACAAAAGAGATCAAATTGACACATCGTGCAAATTATAAGACTATTTATATAATTTACCTTTTTGAAAATTTATAATTAGAATATTATATTGAATTAAGGGGTTGTTTGGGATGATCTAAATAAGTGTATTTTTTAACTTTTTATGAAATATGGATTGGGTTTGGGTTGGGTTTGAAGTGATGTGTTAGAGAGGTGATGTGATTTAAATAAGATGATATGATTTAAATAGAATAATGATTTTTTTATTTTTTGTCTTTTTCAAAACATGTCAAACTTGACCTAAATGTTAATACTCCTTGAATGAGTGATACGAAATGGGGTCTCAATTTTTTTTGTCAACAAGTCTTGGCATAGCATGCCTTTGTCAGCAGTGTGGCCCTCTAGTTAAACTGGCAGACAGTAGGATTCAGACTGGTTTCATTTCATGGATTAAATATAATTTTTTTAATAATTTATTACAATCTTAAAAAAAAAAAAAAACTCCAATACATTTTAGAGACACTCAGAATGGTGTGATAACAAATCACCTAATGGCATATTTTTTTTTTTGGGATAGTCAGTGTTACAAGTTTACATGATAGGCTAGTAGTTTTAAAGTGTTTTGCAAAGATAATTAAAAATTATTTTTTTTGATTTTTTTAAAAAAAATATTTAAAAAAAATGTAAGAAATGATATAATTACAAGTAAATTAAAAATTAAAAAGTGATTTTTAATTCACTTCTCAAGAAAGGCTTTTGTGATCAAACAACAATGGGCTTCCTCTCTCCCTTCCTTCCCCCAAGGAAAACCCTATTTGTTAATAATAAAACAAGTAAATCCTAATTAATAATAATAAAACAAGTGATTAAGTGATCTCGGCTTGCTTCAGCGAAGTGCTCTTTCGCCACCTACTACCATCGTCAATGTTATCATTAGTTATTATTAACTTAAGCAAATTACACCACCATATTCCTTCATTACTATTTTCTTTACTACAAAAATTCTATTTAATTGATTCCTCCCCTGCATTAAATTATTCAACCCCCCAATTTCTATTCCTTATTTTTTTCTTAGGACATAATATCAGTATATTTTAAAAAGAAGTTATATTTTATTAGAATAGTTTAATTTTTTCTGTATAAAAATCTAATAAGTTTATATATACACATAATATTTATTTATTTATTTTTCTCTTGTTTTTTAATATTTATGGGAAGAATATATAGATATATTATTCACATTCTATTCTAACATAAAAAAATACAGGAATGTATTCCCTTTGATCTGATAAAAAAGAAAAAGAAAAAGAAAAAGAAAAAGAAAAAAGAAGACACCCTTTGAAATAAAACAAAAAAATAATTGGGTAAAATATAGAGTATATCAATCAAATTACCCAACAAAATTACAAGGGAAAAAGTCGCGGTCATCAAAATTATCCAGTGATCCCTTTTCTAACACGTACCGAAACCTTTTGCTTTTCAAGGAAGTGAGTGTGAGTGTGACGACAAGGGGCGAGAGAGAGGGAGAGAGAGAGAGTGACGAAATGATCATCAGTACATGTATAAAACAGGAGAGACAGAGGAGAGCGAAGAGGGGAGGGAGAGACTGGTGGGTGTGCGTGCGTGTGAGAGTGAGAGTGAGAGCAACAAATTGGGGATCATATTCATATATATATATATATATATGCAACTAGTCTCTCTCTGAATCAATTTTTGGTTAAAGGAGCTTCTCAAAGATCGATTCAATGGCGGAGGAGATGAAGAAGAAGATAGTATTGTTATTAATTATTACAGTAATTATGGTGGGAATTAGAGTGGTGGAATCGGAGTACATAGAGTACAACACATCACAGAGGATGATCAACAATGGCAAAATCAACGTCCATTTGGTCCCTCACTCCCACGATGACGTCGGTTGGTTGAAGACCGTCGATCAGTACTACGTCGGTGCCAATAATTCAATTCGGGTAGGGTTCTTTCCTTTCCTTTCTTTGTTTCTATTCATTACTGGGCTTTTCTTTCTGCTTCTTTCTTTCTTTTGTGTGTTGTATTAATATGTATTGTATTAAACTAAAATCATCTCTGGCGAAGTGGAGTTGTTTATTAGTCTTTTTTTTTTTTTTTTGGTTGGATATAGGGAGCTTGTGTTCAGAACGTCTTGGATTCTGTAATTTCGGCATTGTTGGAGGATAAGAATCGAAAGTTCATCTATGTTGAAATGGTGAACAATTTTTCCTGTTTCTTTCTCATTCATATGCTTTTTAAGTTTGCGCGTTTTCTTTATACTGTGATGTGTTTGGTTGAGGGATTTGGAAAGAGATTTGGAGAGGGAGAGGGAGAGGGAGAGGGAGAGGGAAAAGGAAAAGGAAAAGGATAAGGATAAGGATAAGGAAATCGTGTGAAATTAGATATGTAAGTAGATTTTATTTATATTTAACCTATCTTTTTCAGGCATTCTTTCAGCGTTGGTGGAGGCAGCAGAGCAAGGCTCTCAAGACCAAAGTCCAGGAACTCGTCAACTCTGGTCAACTAGAATTCATGTAAAATTACATTTATATATATATATATATATATATATTTATATATAATATTCTTTTTTTGTTTTCTTCTTTTTTTAAAAAATAAAATAAAATAATATTGGATTAGATAATTGTTTGTTTTATGAATCTGCTGAATGAGAGAATCTGTATTATTACTAACTATATCATATTACTTCTTCTTATTGACAAGTTTTTGTCATGCAACTGCAGTGCAGCTTCTATATATATATATATGTTTGTTTGTTCTATATCTGATTAATTTTATTTTATATTTTGTATTTTTATCTTTGGATTTAGAAACGGAGGAATGTGCATGCACGATGAGGCAACCCCACATTACATTGACCTAATTGATCAGACTACACTAGGGCATCAATTTATCAAAAAAGAATTTGGTCAGAAACCAAGAGTTGGTTGGCAGATTGATCCTTTCGGGCATTCTGCTGTTCAGGCTTACTTGCTGGGTGCAGAGGTATACATTTGTAGTTTCTCCTATCTTTTCTTCACCTTTTACGTATATAGATTCCTTTTTCCCAACAATATATGTTCTTTATGCTGTGTTTGGATCTTTGATTTGTGGAGGAAAAGGAAAATCCATAAATTCAACACCCAAACACAACCTTTATGGTATTCAACAATGGAATGGATTATATATATACAGACACATTTTATGTAAGGATCCATTTATGGTATTAAAATATTGATGACCAATACACTCACTCTGCATCTCCTAATCATAAGCATTTTCAACTTTTTTTGGCATGTAAGCTTTTGATCTCATTTGACTCACTCACTTCTCTCTTACAGCTAGGATTTGACTCTCTCTTTTTTGCACGGATTGATTACCAAGACAGAGCTAAACGAAAGGATGACAAGACTCTTGAGGTTGTCTGGCAGGGTTCAAAGTCCCTTGCTTCATCTTCACAGGTCAGAGGCTTGAAAATTTGTTTAAAGCTGTTTTGCCTTCTATAATGTTTATCTTTGTCTTGAGAATTAGGTGTTATTCTGGTTTCCTGGTAGCAAGCACTTTATCTTTATATATATATATATATATTTTTTGTAGTTTTTATGCTTTGGCTAAGATATGAGAATATTACCTGAATGACGTTATTTTTCTTCCCATCATTGAACTTATCTGCAGATTTTTACTGGCATATTCCCTAGGCATTATGACCCTCCTGATGGTTTTACCTTTGAAATAAATGATGTGTCTCCTCCTATTCAGGTAAATTAGTAGAACATAACTACAGTGCATTAAACTTTCTCTGGGAACCTTTCCCCCACCTCCACTCACATGAGTTTCTTGTTTGAAGGATGATATTCTCCTGTTTGACTACAATGTTGAAGAACGAGTTGATGACTTCGTAGCTGCTGCAGTGGCACAGGTAATATCTATAACTGGCAATTTACCTGCTCTTCATGTTTCATCTAATCTGCAGAGACATTTATGTATGCTGCATCATTGCGTAAAGCACATCAAATTCGTCCCCAGTCATCTCTCCCTTTTTGCAAAAGAGAGGAAAAAACAAGAGAAGGAAGATTAAGTAGGTATTTGGATGGATTAAAATAGAGTTAAAAGTTACCCAAGTTCCATTCAACGAGCTTCATGAAATCATGGGCTTGTGTTTTGAGATAAATTTTCAACAAAAAAAATTTTGGGGAGAGAGTTTAGAAATTTTTTCGGTTTGTTTGGTTGTATATTTTGAAAATAGTTTTGGAGTTTGGGAGTTTGGGATGATTTGATATCTTGTTGTAATTGAGTAGATGTGTGTGCGAGGAAAAGAGATTGAGAAGGAGAGAGGAGGGAGAAAAAGTGATTGATTGATGTGTAATAGAGAGAGAAGTAATTTTGAAATTTTTTTGAAAAAATTTGTAACTGAACATGTTTTTGGAAATTTTCTTCCAAAACCGTTTTTCAAAACACAAGCCAAACATAGCCTAAAGCTTTGGCAGATTATTATGTTATCTGGGTGTGCATATTTGCCAGAAATTTTTTGTTTTCAAATCTTGCCAGTTACTTTTTATTTATTTATTTATTTGTCCCATGCAATTTTAAGGCAGAAATTCAAAAGTATAACTGAGAATTTACTATTTCTCTCTTAATATTGTCTGATTCAATGCTCATTGCAGTTTACATGTGTACTTGTATTTTTTTTTTAGGCTAATGTAACCAGGACAAACCATATAATGTGGCTCATGGGGACAGATTTTCGGTATCAGTATGCAAATTCGTGGTTCAGGCAGATGGACAAGTTTATTCATTATGTCAACCTGGTAATCATTTTTATAGGTCTTGCTCAATCTGAGTGAATTAGAAAGACAGATGTGTGCATTGCATTTTATTATTGAGTGCCGAGTGGTTTCACATCCTCTTCACCTTAGATTTAGTATTTTAAAATTCTAGTTCTGGATTGACTAATCTTGGAGTGCTCTTAGGACGGCCGTGTCAATGCTCTATATTCAACCCCATCCTTATACACTGATTCAAAATTTGCAACAGATGAATTATGGCCTCTAAAAACTGGTGATTTCTTCCCGTAAGTCTTATGTGAAATTACACTCGCAACGAATTGATCGCTACTTAGATTTAATTTTCAGTTTTCGTTAAAGAATACAATGCTTTTTTTTAGGTATGCAGATCATGAAAATGCATATTGGACAGGTTATTTTACTAGTAGGCCAGCCTTCAAGGGTTATGTCAGAATGATGAGTGGTTACTATTTAGTAAGATCTTCAGCCTAATCTATCTTAATCATGAAGTGCGGTTCTCATGGTTGATTGCCAGTCTGTCACAGTTCTGTGAAACTATATTGCTTTTTTTCTTTCACAATCAGGCAGCAAGACAACTGGAATACTTTAAAGGCAGGAGCAGTTCAGGGTCGAACACAGATGCATTGGCTGATGCTTTGGCAATTGCTCAGCATCATGATGCAGTTAGTGGTACAGAAAGACAACATGTGGCTGCTGACTATGCAAAGCGACTTTTCATGGGCTATGCAGAGGTGCAGATTAGTTTAAAACTCTGATAATGTTAAGGAAGGGCTATGAGCGTCTTGTAAATTTTGATCCACATTGTCATAAAGTAAAAATTGATATAGAAAAAGTGGACTACATTTAGTGCTTTTGTTTTTTTGTTGCTGGCATTTTAATGTTTTAAACCAAACATGCTAATATTCTTGGTAATATTATCTTCAGGCTGAGAAGGTGGTCACGTCATCACTTGCTTTGTTAGTAGAGTCAAAATTAAGCACTAGACATGAAGACTCGGTCACCAAGTTTCAGCAGGTAATATTAATTACAAGCATTGTATTCTGTGTTACTAGAGTTACCAGTAACCTGTATTTTCATTTTCCCTTGTGCTATCAGAAAGGAATTACTCCATTTATAGTTCTTTGACATGTATGACTTCGACATAAAAATTACATTTTAAATATTAAATGTGTTTATTAAATTATATTCCTTTTCACATATGTGCATGCACTTGTGTATTCTTCAACCTAAATTCTTTCCCTCTCTTTTTGAGGACTAAAATGAGCATTATTCTGTAGACAGGCATTTTTTTAACTGTGACATAGAACTTAGTCTAAGTATCAAATGTATATGTTTCAATTCAGATTCATAAAAGATGCTACAGCTACAGTCATGAAGATATGATAAAACACAAGTAGTTATTTGTTTGACCCTTTCCAGGAGCAGGTTATATTTGTTACTCTATTGTCCTATGATAAATTGTATTAATAGTTGTGACTTGGGTTGATATGTGAAGCATATTCCACTTTGTCAACCTTTCCATTTGTCATTCTTCATTAGCAACACAATCCATGCAACTAAGAGGGGGAAAAAGTGCAATTAAAGTTTCTTTAGAAAGATGATGTGAGAATTTTTGGAAAAAGGAAATCAAATATATTCTTTGCATTTTTATACTGACATTGTTATACATTCTCCTTTTAATGCAATTGAGCATATTATTATTATTGTTACTTATTATTGTAAGTTACTGTCCTCATAATGTAAGTTATATATTGACATTGTTGATTTTCCCTTTTGTTAGTGTCCCCTTCTTAATGTAAGTTACTGTCCTCCATCAGAAGCTGCTTTGTCTAATGGGAAAAGCTTGGTGAGAGAATCATTCAACTTTAATTTTTTTTGTTGTTCTATTATTATTATTTAGTATTTTTGTTGTGATGAAGATTAGAGCTGACATTTTGGAACCAAAAGAATTATTTATGCTGTCCTCTTTTGTAGGTCATAGTTGTCTACAATCCTTTAGGATGGAAGAGGGAGGAAGCAATTCGGATTCCAGTGAGTGCTCCACTTGGCTTTTCTGTCCTTCATTGTTATGAATGTCCTACACTATTTTGATTGAGGTTACCACTGTTTCTGTAATTATATAAATTACCACCTTGCGGATGAACATTCTCAAATAGATTGATAGAAATCTCTCTCTCTCTCTCTCTCTCAGAAAGAGAAATGCATGTGATTATTTTGTGGTAGAGGAACAAACTTAGAACACACTGTGGACTTCAAGTTCAAGGCTTAAAAATGGATTGGGTGCCTATTTCGCATCCACCGTGTAACGTTACACAATATGAAAAACATGCAAAGATCTTTTGCATTTTTTCTCTCTGCCATGCCATCCTGGTATATGGAATGTGAAAGTATTGTAAGTAAGCATGTGAAGAACACCTTACTTCTTCCAAACAGCATTAGTGGATAGCTCTTTCTACCTTATGATTATCAAGTGACTAGCCCATCTGTGTCCACCCTCTTTATGCTGTGTTTGGTTTGAGGATTTGAGAAAGGATTTGGAAAGGGAAAGGGAAAAGTTCGGTGAAATGTGGATAAAATATACCTACATTTCACCTAGTTTCACACATCTTTTCCCTTTCCTTTTTCCTTTCCAAATCCCTCCACAAATCTCCCAACCAAACACAACATTAGAGATAACTGTCTAACGCATAATTTCAGTGCTTTAAAGGTGTTAAAGACCTTTTTAAATGTAAATTCAATGCGAAAGTATGTGTTTCCTGTAATATTAATTATGAAACAAGTGGTTTTCTTGCTTGGTCAAGTTATTGCCATAGTTGTATAATACTAACTACAAACACAAGCTGCCTACAGGTTTCCACTGAGGTGATTGTTCTGGATTCAGCTGGAAGAGAAATTGAATCTCAACTTCTTCCTCTGTCCAATGCCTCTTTAAGAATCAGAAATTTCCATGTCAAAGCATATTTGGATAGATCTCCTGGTGACACACTTAAATATTGGCTTGCCTTTTCTGTATCTGTACCACCGCTTGGTTTCAGCACGTACATTGTTTCGAGTGCAAAACGGACAGGTTAACCATATTGCTTCATCATCTAGTGCTTTGTTCTTGCAAACTGGAATGAACAGGGCACATTCTCTTCATGGTGCTAACATGAAGTATTATTTTATTGTTCTATCATTTTTTCTTAAATTTTCAGAAGTGGGTAGTTCAACCATCTCAGAAGTCTATACTTCAGAAGGAAGTACGGATTTTACAGTTGAAGTTGGCCAAGGAAATTTGAAGCTACTTTACAATGCAAATGAGGGAAAGCTTACTCATTACATTAATGGCAGAAGTTTGGTATGTTATGTTATTTTTCTGGTGGTGTATTTTGATAGTAACATATCCTGTTTGATTGTTGTGTTTTTAAATTTGTTTGGATTTTTATTTTCATTCTAATAATCATGATGAGATTGAGCTTATTGCTTTAATATCTTTCATTGATGTGATGCTTTCCTAGTTCATTTGCTTTTTCCTTTTCTTTTTTTTTTTTTTTTGGAAAAGAAAAAATATTTTCATCGAATGCTTGATTTTCTTTTTCTATTCTTTTCTGTTTTTTTTGGAATTATTGCTTTCTAAAAGACATATGACAGCAAGTGGCAGGAAAAATATAGGCGCAAATACAATTTCATTCTATAAATGAATACATAGTGTCTGCCTGTCTGGGATAAATAAATAAAACAACATAGTGTTGTGGCATTTGTTATGCAACGTAACGATTTGTCTTCTATATTGTTCTTAACTGAAGGTTAGAACAGCTGCCAGGCAATCATACAGTTACTACTATGCATATAATGGAACTGACAAAGATTCCCAGGTATACCTTTCTTGACCAAAAATCATCAGATATTTTTGTTATTTATGTCTATATGTATTTTGCTTTGTATGCATGACTTTCTCTCTTAGTTTAATTTATTAGGGATTTTGTTCCACGATTTTAAACCTCTGTGAATGGTTTTTCCCCTAATGATTGAAGGCTTCTGGGGCATATATTTTTCGTCCAAATGGTACATTCCCCATAAAATCTGAAAGCCAGGTAATCATTTTACATGCTTGGCTTGTCATTCTGTTAAATAAAGCACTGTCACCATAAGTTTGTTGCCTGTGAAGAGGTAGTTTTTGAAGGAAAATGGATACCTTTTTTTTAGGTTTCCTTAACTGTTATGAGGGGTTCGCTCATGGATGAAGTACATCAGCAACTCAATCCATGGATATACCAGGTGATAAAGATGTCAATGTGATATATGCTCTGCTTTTATTCTCAGTTTTATTTGAACTTCATCTTTTATTTTTGGCCCACATAGTTGGTATATGCTGATAGATGGTTTTAGAAGTGAAATGTTTTTACATATCATGTATGGTTTTGTTTAGCAATTTTGCAACTCAACTAAACTCATTAAGCCTTGGTCCCAAGCACTTGGGTTTTATTGTGTGCGTGGATTCATTTCCTTTTGTTGGTTATATTATACCATTAACTACATCTAGGGTATTCTATTTCTCTTACCGCTCTCAAGCGCATCAAATCATTCTCTCACAAGCACATTGGTCTATATTACACATGACCATACCATCTCAAACAGCTTTCCCCCATTTATCTACAATTAGTGCCACTTCTAACTTCCTAAAATGCATTCATTCCTTTTATTTCTTACTTGTAACACCACTCATCCTTTTCAACATTCTCATTTCAGTTAGCTACACATATTTATTTAATCATTTTTTCTTAATCATTTAACATTCTATACAATACATCACATAAGGCTTTATAACAGTTCTAAAGAACTTCTTTTTCAACTTAACAGGAATCCTACACAAGACATTTTTTTGTGCACTCTTCCATCTCATTCATCCCGCTTTAATTTAAGGGCCATATGCTCCCCAACCTCTCATTCTTTTTTAAATAAAGATATTTCAAATAGTCACTCATAGGTATCTCTTGCCCATCAATTTTTTTCTATATCTTCATTGCTATTTCTAATTTTGTTAAACTTACACTCCATACCTTATGTCTTAGTCCTACCTTTTTTTTTTTTGATAAGCAAAGTTTATATATATATAATAAGTTTGATAAGCAAAGTCTTAGTCTTACTTATCCTAAAATGTGTTTTCCGTGATTGTAACGTAGATTTCACTTCACATGTTTAGTCAACTAGAACTCTATTGTTTGCGAACAACATACATTTGAGAATATCCTTTTGAATGTTTCTATTAAATTTGGAGTTCTAGTTTTATTGATCATATCCAGACAATTCTACTAGTCCATTGAGGAACCTTTTAGTGGAAATTTTTTCTAGGATTGTGCTTTTACAAAAGCGTAGAGACCAAATCATTGAAATTAATCTGTAAAATCATATTCCTTTTTTCTTCTTCAATCTTATGAAATTAGAATAATAATAATCCGCTGTACTAGAATTTGAGTTTCTTAAGTTTACCCATATTGTTGCTTTTTACTTTCAATAACACAAAACTGCACGGATGCAGGTCACCAGGGTATACAAGGGAAAGGAACATGCTGAAGTTGAGTTCATTGTAAGTTTACATGACATTAATTGATACAATTAATAAGTTAACAAAACTCTGGTGCAGTTTTCAGTTTTTCGTACTCATTCAGTGCTTCATCATCATAAAAGATGTAATATAATGCACACACGGAGTGATATTGAAGCTTGAGTAACAGCTTAGGGTATGATGAGCTATCATCCCTTATTTATAAATAAAGATTAGGGTTTACAAGGTAGACAATTACAATCCCTGAGTGCATAAAACAATGATTACAGACTCTTTCGGCTAATATAATATGCTAAGACTTTCGGTGATTATAATATGCCAACAGATATATGTCACGGGAATGAAATGAGAGAGTATAAGGAGTTATCCTCAGAATTGAGGATTGAACAGAAGTTAATCATTATCTAGGTTGACGAGAGATCTAGAGGGAGTCTAGTGGAGATTATAGAGAGGAATTGACTACAAAGCTTCTCTCTGAAGATAGATTTGGGAGGTGTAAGTTGGGCTGTGCAAGCTCTACAGCACGTGGGGAAACTTTACAAAGGAGGCTCTTTCTTTAGCAAATACCATAGCAGCTCCGTTGTGTTTTGTTTACAGAAGTATACCAATGGTAAGGGTGCTTTTGTTGATTTGTTGAAATGGGAGGGAGGCGTCAAGAAGTGCAATATTATCATTCCGGCGGGGAATAATGGTAGTGGGTGGATGGATACAGCTACCATGCTTCGTAAAATCATTTGCAATGAACCCAAGAGGAAAACTATAGGTATGGGTGATAGGGTTAGAGTTACAAAAGGAGTTCAGAGCAAGGGGACAAAGGAAAAGACTTGGGAAAGGAATACAGGGGTGAACAGAGGGAGAAAGTTTGTTGCTTTGTTCACTGAGAATCGAATGGGTAATTTAGGGGTTGATATGGAGCGGGCGGTAGTCTGTGTAAGATGTGATTTCTCAAGCAGCTGGGCGCAAATTGAAAAGGAGTTGAGCAAATATTTAAAGAAGTCTATTGCACTTCGGCCATATCAAGTCAATAGAGCTCTGTTCTGGGTAAGTAATAGAGAGAAAACAAATTTTATTGGAAACATGGGATTGAGGTTCTTCAACAAAGGTGTGGTGATCAGTTTGGAGAAGTGGTCAGAGGTAAGGCATGTTAAATCAGAGGTGATTGTCTCTTATAGAGGGTGGATAGCAGTGTGTGACTTGCCATTTACCCTTTGGAATGAAAAGGTATTCCAGTACATCGGTCAAGGGTGTCTTGGTTTATTGAAAGTGGATAGAAGAACGGTTTCTTTGGAAAATCTATTTGAAGTAAGATTGAAAATCAGAGGCTTTGATTGTGGTTTTCTGCCAGCTTTGTATGGAGATCAAGGAGGGAGATCGATCTTCTATGGCGCGTCTCAAGTCTCTGTCCAAGTCAATGCGACCGAAGGGGGAAGTTTGGCCAACGATCTTCCGACATCAGTCTTCTGGCGAATCTTTTGCCAACGACGAGGAAGACAAGGGGAAGGACAGCCAGGGGGGATACGTGGCGGCTTCGATGGGGAAAATCGAAGGGGTGCAGGAGTTGAAGGGGCTGGGGTTAGTTCCCATGCGGTGGCTGAAATGGAGGGTAGATCAAGGGATAAGGGGCTTTGGGAGGCTCCAGTTGGGCCAATGGGGCGTAGTGGGCTAACCTTTATTTTGGGCCTAAGTGATCTTTATGAGAAGGTCCAGAGTGTTATGAATCAACGGCCCAAGTTGGATTCTCCAAGAGCTGGGCCATGCTGTAAGAAGCAAATGGGTTGTAATGTTGGGCCTCAAAGTGTGGATGTGGTCTATTCAACTGATTTGGGTCTAGTGGGTCAATTAAAAGAGGTTTACGGATCGGAAAAGAGGTTCAGTGATGCAGTTCGACCTGATTTGCTTGTAGAGCAGAAACCATCAATGGGGGAGGAGGAGGCTCAGCATTAGCAGTTGTCTGGGGTGCTAGAGCCCAAGGATGTGGATCACGAGATGAATTTTTCAAGGACTAATCAGTTTCAACTAACGAGGGACGAGATTCAGCTAGGATTAGCTAATGTCGTGAATGGATCTGTTGAGGATCTACAGAAAACAGAGAGGAATATGGTGGAGTGGGTCGATGAGAGGATAGAGAAGGTGAACGATGCTGATTTGTTGAGTCGCAAGGTTGATGATGGATGTTTCGAGCCTAACGAAGTGTTACAAGCTTTGGAAATGTATGGGCCTGAGACAAGCTCTAAGTTTATCTTTGGTTCAGAAGGCGATGGAGGTGATCAAGAAGAGTATGATTTTCAGCTGTGTAATCTCTTTAAGGAACAAGGCATTGTTGAGAATGAGGAGGCCGAGGATGTCTCTGAAGCAATGGATCATGTCAGTGACACTATTATCCAAGATCTCATAGCTCCAACATCTGAGAGGGGTAACATTGCTAGTCAAATTTTTTCTTCTCTTGGGTATGGGGTAGGAGGATCTCAGAGTTAGGGTCTTGATGGTTCTGTTAGGGGAATGGATGATCAAGGAGTCTTGCCAGATATTTCCAGAGCCATGATGTCTAGCTCTACTATTAATCCTGTGTCCTAAAATGCTAACATTCATGTAGGCCAAGTAAATGATGCTCAAGTGGGAGATTCTGTTAATCATATGCCCAGGAGAAGTTATGTTTTTAGTGGAGTGAGGGATAATGAGGTTGAAATTGAGCATTGGTTGATGGAGTTAAGCAAGTATGCGTCGTGTCCTATTGAGGAAAATGAAGTACCTCTTTTCAGGCATTTGCTTCAAGTTATGGGGCTTTCGTTAGTAAGGTTAAATGGGAGGGAGGGGGTTAGTGGAGAGGAACTTAGTGTCTCCAGGGGGGAGTGTGTTAGAAGGGGAGAGGCTTCAATTAAAAGGGGGGCTAGGGAGTTAAGGAACTTGGTGAGCACAATTAATTATGATAGGAGACATGAGGAGGTTAGGGGTGGCAATGTTTCTCAATGAGGATTGTTAGTTGGAATGTGAGGGGTTTGGGCTCCCGAAAGAAGAAGGGGTTCATTAGGGATTTTTTAAAGAAGCATCAACCTGATATAGTCATTTTTCAGGAAACTAAAGCGGACGCTTGTGATAGAAATTTCATTAAAAGTGTTTGGGGAGTTAGGCATAAAAAGTGGGCTTTTGTACCATCAGTGGGAAGGTTTGGAGGTCTTTTATGTATTTGGGATGAGGGGGTGGTTTTTGAGTGTGACTCATTAGTTGGAGAGTTTTCATTATCTGTTAGGTTCAGGAATCTAGATAATAGTGAGTGGTGGTTGTCGGGTGTATATGGCCCAAATTGCCCCGCTAAGAGACAGGCTTTGTGGGAGGAGTTAGGTGGGTTATATGGATTATGCTACTCCAATTGGTGTTTAGGGGGGGATTTCAATATGGTTAGGAAGACTTTAGAGAAGCTTACTGGGGGTAGAATCAATAGGAGTATGAGAGATTTTGATGGGTTCATTAGAGGTTGTGAGTTGGTGGATCTTCCTTTATTTAATGCAAGATTCACATGGTCTAATCTTTGGGAAAGCAGGGTATGTTATAAATTGGATAGATTTTTATTTTCTTTGCGTTAGGAGGGGGTTTTCCCCAATATGAGACTGGAGGTGTTTCCAAGATTGGTGTCCGATCATTGTCTCATTATGATCGAGAGTTGTCCTTTTAGGTGGAGTCCAGCCCCATTTAGGTTTGAGAATATGTGGTTGGATCATCATTTATTTAAGGAGAACTTTGTGGGGTGATGGAATAATGCTAGATGTCACGGGTAGAAGGGTTTTAAATTCATGAGAAAGTTGAAGGTCATTAAAGAGCAAGTGAAGCTTTGGAATAAGGAGGTGTTTGGAAATTTGGAATCATCTAAACTCCAAGTTATGGGTAGAATGGAGGAGATAGGTTTTTTGGAAATGCAGGGGAATGAGGTCAAGGATTTGAGGAGAGAGAGGAGGGAGCTAGGCGTAAAGTTGGAAGAGTAGACTCTTAGAGAGCAGATTTTTTTGGCACAAAAAGCAAAGGTGAGGTGGTTAAAGGAGGGGGATGTTAGTTCAAAATTCTTTCATAGGGTTGCGGATGGCAAAAGGAAGAAAAAGTTCATTAAGAGGTTGGAAGTAAGGCCAGGGGTAGTGGTGGACTCAGAGGAGCAAATAGTCCAAGGGATTTTGGATTTTTACTCAAAATTATTTTCAAAGGATGAGATAGTCAAGGCTGGGTTAGAAGGGGATTGAATGGAGATCTATTGATCAGGAAAGTGCCATCTGGTTAGAGAGGCCTTTTGAGGAAATGGAGATTAAGGATGCAGTTTTTGACTGTGAGAGGGACAAGGCTCCAGGCCCTCGACGGGTTTTCATTGGCAGTTTTTCAAGATTGTTGGGAGGTGGTAAAGGGGGATTTGGTGAAGGTTTTCATGGAATTTTATGAGTCAGGGGTGGTTAATTTATGTGCTAATGTCACATTTATTTGTTTGATTCCCAAGAAGGATGGAGCCATCCGAATTGGTGATTTTAGACCAATTAGTTTGGTAACATCACTCTACAAGATTTTGGGGAAGGTTTTATCAAAAAGGTTTAGGGCCTCTTTAGGGGATACAATCTCTTCGACACAAGGGGCTTTTATGCAAGGTAGACAGATTCTAGATGTGGTTCTGGTGGCGAATAATGTGGTTGAAGAGTGTAGAAAGTCTGGAAAGAGAGGTCTTGTGTTTAAGGCAGATTTTGAGAAAGTGTATGATCATGTAGATTGGCATTTTTTGAATTTTGTGATGGTTAGGAAAGGGTATGGTGAGAGATGGAGGCCCTAGATAAGGGGATGTTTAGCGTCTTGCAATATGTCGATGATAGTCAATGGTAAACCGAGGCAAACTTTTAAGGCATCTTAAGGGTTGAGACAGGGAGATCCTTTATCTCCTTTTCTCTTCATCATGGTAGCGGACGTGTTAGGAAGGATGGTGGGTAGGGCTAAAGAGGTTGGTCTGTTTGAAGGCTTACAGGTTGGTAGAGATAAGATTAGTGTGACATTTGCAGTTTGCGGATGACACTATTTTCTTCTCTGAAGGGGATGAGAGTGAATCTCTTTTCGGTGGTTAGGCTTTTTGGGGTGCTCTCTGGTCTCGGGGTAAATTTAGAGAAGAGTAGGGTTGCAGGTATTAATGTTGATTCAAGTTTGATTCAGAGAGTGGTGTAGTATAGAGACATTTCTGATGAAGTATTTGGGGCTTCCGTTGGGAGGTAACCCAAGGGGTGAAGTGTTTTGGCATCCGGTTGTGGAAAAGATAGGCAAAAGGTTAGAAGGGTGGAGTAGGGCTTTACTATCCCGTGGGGGTAGGTACACTCTGGTTAAGACAGTGCTAAGTGGAATTTCAATTTATTTCATGTCTGTGTTTAAGGTTCCAGTCAAGGTAGCAAAATCTATTGAAAAGTTAATGAGGGATTTTCTATGGAAAGGGAAAGATGAGGGTAGGAAGGATCATTTGGTGAATTGGGAAACGGTGTCCTTATCTAAGGAGAAGGGGGGTTTGGCCATTGGTAATATAGTGGCTAGAAACATGGCTCTGCTGGGCAAGTGGTTATGGCGGTTTCCCAATGAGTGTGGTTCATTATGGCATGCGGTTATTAAAAGTAAATATGGCATTCAGGTTAATGGTAGGAACTCTCAGGTGGTCTCGAGGGATAGCGGTCGTGCTCCTTGGGTAATGGGGAAATGGTCAAATTTTGGGAGGATGTTTGGGTGGGTTCAACGTCCTTGGCTGAGTCATATCCACTTCTATATGGTGTTTTTCAATCTCATAATTGTTCTGTTGCGTCTGTGGCGGGTTCTTTGGTGGTTCCTTTATCTTGGAATTTTAATTTCCGTCAGAATCTTCATGATAGGGAAGTTCCGGAATTGATTTATCTTTTGTCAAGGTTCGAAAATGTTTCTTTGTCTCCAATGTTGAAGGATAGGTTGGTTTGGAATATCCATTCGTCGGAGTCTTTACTTGTAAGTCCTTTCTTGATAAAATCATTGATAATTCTCATGTCCCTCAGTTTTTATTTCATAACAAGATTTGGAAGGCGTGTGCTCCTCTCAAGGTGAAAGTGCTCATGTGGATTTTGGTTCATGGGGGCACTTTGACCAATGATTCATTGCAAAAGAGAAGACCTTTGCGGTATCTTAATTCTCAATGGTGCATTATGTGTCGTAGGAGTGGAGAATTTTTGGATCATCTCTTTTTGCATTGCTCGGTGGCTAGGTGGTTATGGCATAGGGTGTTTGGATTGGGTAGTGTGATGTGGCTGGCCCCAAAAGGATGTGCTCAAATGTTATTATTTGATTTTCAAGTTTTTGGAAGATCGAAGAGAGCTAAAGCACTGTGGAGTGGTGTAGTCTTTGCAATTTTCGGGGTTGTTTGGTTGGAAAAAAATGCTCTGGTTTTCGAAGGAGTGGCCTGGGATATAGATTACTTATGGGATAGGGTGAGAGACTTGGCGTCTTTTTGGGCCTTGGCGAGCTCATTATTTCGGGGGATTCCGCTTTTTTTGCTTGCTTCGAATTGAGTGTCAGTTTGTTCTATGTAGAAGTTTTTGAGTTTGGTATTTTTGTATTTTCTTTTTTCTCTTTTTGGTTTTTCCATTTCTGTTGTAAGAGGATATCTTATCCTCTTTTTTCTTGGCCTTAAGCCTTAATAAATCTTTGTTTGTTGCTGATCAAAAAAAAAAAAAAAAAATTGATACAATTAATGAATCCACTTTCTGCAGTTAGGTATATGGTTTGTTGACTTCATATATTAAACTTCAGATTGGGCCCATACCTGTGGATGACGGATTTGGAAAAGAAATAACCACTCAAATCACAACAGCTATAATGACCAACAAAACCTTCTATACAGATTCTAATGGACGGGACTTCATTAAAAGGGTATGTGAGCATTTGCTTCAATTTTAATTACATAATTCACAAGATAGTAATTTATGTTCTTGGGTACTGAATTGAAAATATCAAACTCTTTTGCAGTTTGACTAAAATTTATTTTGTAGGTTCGAGATTACAGAGAAGACTGGGACCTTCAAGTTAACCAACCTGTTGCTGGAAATTATTATCCTGTATGTCCAGAAATTGCATATATGTATATATATATCTGTATATATTTTGATAAGTAAAAATTGCATATTTATATTCAATCCCCCTTCCAAAGAAAAGAAAAGAAAAGAAACACACACTATGATAATAAGGCCACGAGAAATGTCTTTATATGGTTATTGATTAGATTCTGGATGATCCAAGGTCTCCATATCATTAATTTTGCTCCTGCTTGAACTTGTTTTAGTCTACTCAGAGGCCCTTTAGCTTGTTTTATTTTCTGGTACGGAGAATGGTGATTTTGTCACAGGATGAAGAGAGGATGCCAGGGGTTTCTAGAGTATACCTGGGTGTTTTAGAGCTTTGGACTGTTCGCCGGTGGCCATGCTAGCTCCTGGAGGGGCTGCTTCTGAGATTCAATGGCTGGCAAGGGAAGGCTGTGATCAGATGCAGGTGTCAGATTGGGTGTTGAAGTGCATGCAAGGTTTTAGCTAATTCTTGGACGTGTTGGTTTTGAGAGGGAGGCCATGCGACTTTTTGAAGCTAGATGGTGAAATGATACTTCAAATAGAGGGCAGCAAAGGAGTGGTGGTCAAAGAAGTAGAGCGAGAATGAAAGAACTTGGAGTGCTCGCTTAATTATGATGGGATGAGTGAGAATATGAGTATGTTAAGGAAGGGAAGGAGGATGTCATGCATTTCCTCATGTGACTAAAAATTATAAGTTAGGATTTGTTTTAAATGCTCCAGATAAGTGATTTGTAACAAAAGCTTTTCTTAACAACGGTAATAGGGGATTTATTGTGGAGACAAAAATGGAAGATTTAGAGGTCGAGGTGGTGAGAAGTATTTGTGAATTGGGGACCCTTTGGGGGCTGTGGGGAATACAGGTGTAGACCAAATAATGTGGGATTGTAGGGTGTTGATTAGGGAGGATTGTGAGATTGGGATCTTCTCATTATCGTGTTTGTTCATATGCGTAGATCATGGATTCTGGTTGGTGAGGATTGTGAGTTTGGTATGTTCTCATTATCATGTTTGTTCAAATGAGTGGATGATGGATTCTAGTGAAGTTTTATTTTCATTTTTCAGATGCGGACAGAAGAGATATGTGGGGGGAATTTGCGAATATTTCCTTTAGATGAAATGCTCCTTGGTGTTTAGGGAGTGACTTTTATGTTCGTTTCCTAGTGGAGAGGTTGGGTTATTCGAATATTACTAGATTTATGCAAGATTTTTTTAACTTCATCGATGATTTGGGTTTGATGGATCTTCCATTGATTAGGAGCTCATTCACTTGGTCTAGTTATCAGAATCCTCCATCCATGTCCTATCCTATATAGATAGATTTATTTATTTATTTATTTCTCCATTGTAGGAGGAGCACTTGTCTGATGTGATTCACACCCCAAGGCTGGGGTTGGATCACTTCCCAATTTTGTTGGATTTAGGGGGTATAAGGAGGTGGAGGACTCCTTTCAGATTTGAAATATGAGGTTCTAAGTGGAGGGTTTTCGAGAGAAGATAGGAGCATGGTAAAATTACACGGTGGCAAGTAGCTTGAGATCGGGGTCAGCCAAAAAATTGAAATTGTCAAAGGAGGGTTTAAAGAAGTGGAACAATTAAGAGTTTGGAAGTTGTTGAGGCCACCGCACTGAGAAAGAAGAGCGGAATGAATGATTTGAAAGAGGAGTTATATTTTGGAAGTATTTGCGAGAATCTCAAGTGGGCAGCAATATCTAATTTGCTTTCAAAATCTTGTTTACTTTCTATTCTATTATACATGTATTTGGAAGTATTACTATCGGCAACAATTTAAGTAGGTGTCAATATCTAATTTGCCAAAAAGGAGGGGTAATGATTTTGCTTGGATCTTCTATTTCAATACATAAATAATTTGAGGGTTGATGCGCAATTTGATAGTTACTTTGCCTCTCTCTCTCTCTCTCTCTCTCAGGTTAATCTGGGAATTTACATCGAAGATGAAAGCACTGAACTATCTGTGTTGGTGGACCGTGCAGTAGGTGGATCCAGTTTGGTGGATGGTCAAATAGAGCTGATGCTCCATAGGTTTTCTCCTTTGACTACTTAATTTAATGTCAGTACTTGAATTCTATTTTCACATGTTGCATTATCAGGATCTCCAATATATGTCTTCTTTGTTATATAGGAGGCTAATTCATGATGATGCTAGAGGTGTTGGTGAGGCTCTAAATGAAGAAGTTTGTGTCCTTGATGAATGCAAAGGTTTAACGGTTAGCATATTTTACCAACTGCATATATGATATAAGAGTCAGTAGTTATTTTGAAACTGCTGCTTAGCTTCATGTTTAGTTACTAACTCTAGATGGTCAAAGCTTATTGGTGTTGGCTGTTGTTCAAACCGTTGTCTCCCAGGCTCTGTTACTTTATTCTCTAAACAATGCCCTCGGGCTTCCTGTTACTGGATTACAAAAACCGTTCTCCCAGGCTCTGTTACTTAATACTCTAAACAATTTATATAATGCCCTTGGGCTTCCTGTTACTGAATTACAAAAACTCAATTTTTTCCTTCTCGTGCTCCTTCCAGGGTTTCTTGGATGCTACAATTTTCTCTAACAAATATGTTGCACGAAAGTAGGAAAATTTCGCCAGGAGTTGTGTACACCATGTTGACCATAGTGGTGCATCTGTACATACTGACACACAGGCCTGAAACCAGGAGTTGGAAACGGGGCCTGTACACCTATTATGTTTTGCTTGTATTACCTATATATTCGCAAATCTTTCTTAGTGCATATAGTTTTGAATTTTCTTGAGTTAAATTAAGTTTCGTCAAACAAAAGCAAGTGCAAAGACCTTGTTAAGTTTCTCTCTCAATTTAGTAGCTTGAGATTCTTATCAGAAATTTGAATTCAATTGAATCACAAGAGTGCATATTGCCTTGTGGGAATCAACTCATTCTTTAATCTTTCATGAACAAGATGCAGAGAACTATTTGTTTCATGGTCCTCTTGTTTTTTCTTTTTGGCTTTGGTTTTTGTGATGCATCCAACTGGGACTTCATGGATTTACTATCTTTTAGTAGGTCCAAATTAGCTTCATTGCTAGTTTAATGGGGACTGAAATTGACAGAACTGAGGATTTGATACTTTGGCTTTTAATTCTTTGTATCTTTGTTATTTTTAATTTGATTGTTGAAGCATTGGTAGTAGTTTCCTCCTATCTTATTAAATGTGTTTTGCAGGTCCAAGGAAAATTTTATATTAGAATAGACCCTTTAGGAGATGGTGCCAAGTGGCGTCGCACATTTGGCCAAGAGGTGTATTCACCACTACTTCTAGCATTCACTGAGCAGGTGAGAGAAGTAATACATATTTGACTCTTTGTTGTGTGGGCTGCCTTTCGTTAGATGATTAACGTTATTTTTCTGCAGGATGGAAATAATTGGACAAATTCCCATATACCAACATTTTCTGGGATTGATCCTTCCTACAGTTTACCAAATAACATTGCAGTGATAACTCTCCAGGTATGTAGGGAACGCCATGCAACATTTCTCAGATATTATTCCTGAAGGGGGCCTGTCTTGATAGAGCTCCATGCGGTATCCTGTTAGATTTATTCCTCTTGCTTTGCTAGTCAATTAAAAACTATTTTCCCCCAACACTGCAGGAACTTGACAGTGGGAGAGTGCTCCTTCGGTTAGCCCATTTATATGAGGTATTCTCTCATACTTGAATAATATCTATCAAAAGAAGGGCAGATCTTGCTTGTGTGCATGCTGACTTGCTGGTTTCTTAACAGGAAAAAAATTGCAAGCTGACTATATAGCTTACTCTTATCAGATTTCTTTAGGACCACATATAATCTAATTTAGGCTTTTGTGGTGGTTGATATATGTGAAGACTGGAGAGGACGAAGACTATTCAGAATTGACGAGTGTGGAACTGAAGAAGCTGTTCCCAACCAAGAAGGTATGTAAAAGCAACTTGTTCACAGTGCTCGTAAATGCTCTTTTTCCTTGACACACATATGATGATGATGTCTATATTTGTTTTCATATATATATATATATTCAGATCCGGAAAGTGACAGAGATGAATTTGTCTGCGAATCAAGAGAGAGCCGAAATGGAGGCAAAGAGACTAGTTTGGAAAGTGGAAGGCTCTTCAGAAGAACCCAAGGTAGTGAGGGGAGGAGCCGTTGATCCGGTAAAACTGGTGGTTGAACTTTCCCCAATGGAAATCCGCACCTTTTTAATTGACTTTGATTACCTTCAAATGTTTGGTTCTTAATTAAAAGAGCAGAGCTCGGTGGCCATCAGCTTCAGTTGTCAGATTTATAATTTATAGTATTTTAAATCCCATGTGTATTTATTTATGTGAATCTTCTTATTTTGTGTCTAGAAGTGAAAAAATATAGAATTATATATGACATTGCATAAAGATATTACGTTGAAAAATGTAAATAAGAATATCTTTTCCTCCTCACTTTTCCCTTTCTTTTTCATATCCAAACCCATCATAAATATATGATGTAACGAATTACTAGTCTTGGGCTTTTGCCTAGAATGTCATGAAATTATGCCCCCTCCTAACGAAAGTTGGCAAACGTTTGCCATACGTTGATGGTCACCAATATCATTGCAGATGCTAGTTGGCAATAACTTAATGCTTACAATTTTCTCCAAATTATTGTTATTAATGAATTCGTGAGGTTTCTTTCTCCAAATTATTGTTGTTAAGTTGGTAAACCTTTTAATACTTATTTTTATATTTTTTACAACTTTTATTCACAAGAGATATTTTTTGGGGGTAATTAACCCGAGATCTTTACTTAATGAATTGATAAATTCATTTTTGTTGAAAAGAAAATTATCAGTGGTCATTGGCATGGTCACCCCGCACACTCATGTTCAATTTTTGAAGCATTTGTAATTGATATTTTTAAGCTCATAGAGCTAGATTGTACTAAATTTTTAGGCTAACGAAATTATGAAACCAATTAAGCTCAATTAAACAAACAACTGTTTCTTAGGTTATTTTGGGAATGAATTTTTTAAAAAAATATAAGAAAATAAAAAAATGAGTTAACCTTTTGCATTAATTTTTTTTTAAACTATTAATCAATTACTAAACATAGCCATAATAAATAAATAAATAAAATAGAGGTAGCATTGAGAAAAGTGAAAAAACAGAGGGGTATATGGGCAAATTAAAGAAATGGCAGCAATATTTGGTCCAGAGATGCGGGAGAGATATCCCATACAGGAGGACAGGTGTAGATGTTGGTGTAGGTGTAGGTGTGTAGGGATGGCAATTTAAACTTGGACCGACGGGGACCCGACTTCCCGATTTCGATTTGTGCGGTTTTTCTCCGAAAAATATCCCCGACGGGATGGGGATGGTATTGAAAAATCAATCCCCGATCAATTTCGGACCGGGGACGGGGATAAGTATCCAAGCCCTGTACCCGACCCGGCCCCGTCCCCGCCCCCGCCCCCCGGTTTATCCCCGAAATAAAATTACCATTTTACCTTCTATATATATATAAACCAAACCTCTTACACTCTCCCACACACACATATGCCTCTCAATCTTCTCTCTCACGGTCTCTCTCTCTCTCTGAAACCCTCCCACCACCGCTGACTCCCTCATTCCCTGTGACGCCCTCAAAATAATACATGAAACCCATCACTATAGACATGCGTTGATATAAAAGAAACCAACCATTTCTATTCATCAGAGTAATTCTTACAACTGTATTACATGTTCACAATAAAATAAAATGCCCTATGGGCTTACAGCTTTCCAAGTCAACACCTGGTTACACAAAAGAAAAGTACTAACTCTATACAAAATAAGCCCTAGGCTTGATATACATGTAATACAAACAAAATAAACAAAATCAAGAGTCTTCAACTCTCATCATCATCCAAGCTATGTCCTTGGAGGTGGCATACTACTTGTACCTGAAAATAATGTCCCATAAAGGGTGAGCCAACGCCCAGTAGAGATATGCTAAACACAGTATGACCAATAACTAAGACATTAGCAATTGATAAATGTTCAATTTCTATAAACCAATTCATAACCCATTTCCATTTCATGACCACTATGTTCATGTTTCATTTCAGTTTCCATTTCTTATCAATTTCACAATTTACATCAATGGCACAGAACCTAGCCAACCATTTATATGAGACAGTGACTCATATGAAACGTTTCCCATTTTACAATAGATAAACATACTAGTTGTATCAACATCTCAACAGATAAGCATACAAGCTGTATCCACATTTCAACAGATATGCATATTAGCTATATCAACACTTCCAAGATAAGCATATGAGCTGTATCAACACTTCCATAGATAAGCATATAAGCTATATCAACACGTTAACTGACAAGCATATGAGCTGTATTAGTGGAGTCCATCCCCTATCTCCTCCCAAACAACATTCGGCTTAGAGGTCCATCCTCTATCTTCCCCTAAACCGTGGAGTACATCCCCTATCTCCTCCCACACATACAACGTATATACATATAGGTCATATACACAATCAATCAATACGTAACGTTAATGTATTCTATCAACCGTCATACTTTATGACATATCCAACTGATTAGTTTTAGTTTGCCTAATCATCATGTATTGTCTACAACAATCAAAACTACCCTCCACCGGTAGCCCAAGCAATTATTTCTAAACAGATAATAAAAGCTCCAACAGATAAAATATCAATGTTTTCGAAAGTGAGCGATTAATAAATCCAACTCCACTATTCTACTATAAAATGAGCCAATTTCATTATTTTCAACTCAATTCCATATAACCACATTTTTCCCAAATTAATCATACCAATTAATTTATACAACCAATTAGGGTTTTCTATCCCATTTCCCAATATTGACCCAATGGTCTATATATCAACAACCAACATCAATAACACCATTTTGAAACCCAAAATACATATTTAAGAATCAAAATGACAAAAAACCCCATTTATACTTTTTGAAACCCTAAGTCCCAAAATCAACCATTTAACAAAATGCCCAAAAATCTAAGTCAAAACCCATAGTAGTGAGTAGGAATCCCTACCTCAAATTCGGAGCCCAAGAGAAGAGAGGACGAAAATGAAGTTGCTCCAAATCACAAGTTTCTCGGATCAAAGTGTAGCCCTCGACGATCAACACAACTTTTACAAAGGCCAAAGGAGAGGGAAGCACTCTAACTAGATCAAACCCTATAGAGAAGGGAGTTTCTAGAGAGAGAAGCTCTCAAATGGTGGTTTGAAAAAGTAAGAGAGAGAGAGGAAGTGTAGAAATGATTCAAAAATGCCCAGTTGCCCTCTGTTATACGACATTCCCGCTCGAGCGGAAAACACAATGCTCGAACGTCAAGAACAAAAAAACTAGGTTCGCTCGAGCGCAAGAAGGCCCGCTTGAGCGCCAAGACACAAGAATAAAGTACATCCGCTCGAGCGCGAAAACCAGTCCGCTCGAGCGTAGATTTCCCCCTTCTAGAACTTACACCCAAAAAGTACCACCTGCTCGAGCGTAAAGAAACCCGCTCAAGCGTGAAAAACATGCTTGCAGAAGTTCTACAGAGCACCAAAATACTGGGAGTGTGCAATCTCTGCTCAAGCGCAAGAAGACCCGCTCGAACGGACCTCCTAAAAACTAGGCAACAAAGAATTAAAACCAAGGCCTAACCAACCTGTAACAACTCTGCCCAATACATCTTAAAACTCAATCAAGTGGAATTAAAGGATGACAACAAGGTATACAACCACCAACATCACAGAACCCAAGTCCGGAAAATAATAAATACAGAAAGGTAAAACCGGAATTGCTATACTCCCTCCCTTCGCTGTCTTCTTCCTCCTCTCATCACCGTCGACTCCTTCCCTCCGCCGCTGTCCTCTCCCTCCTCTCATCACCGTCAATCTGCAACGATTATCATCGCCGACTCGAGATCTGCAACGATCTAAACTAAGATCTGAGCTTTGTTCAATGAGCTATGGATCTGGATCATGTAACGGAGGACAACGAAGCAACAACGAAGGAGAGCAACGGAGGAACAGCGACGAAGGAAAGTGTCAGAGGAGCATCGACCGAGTTAGGGTTTGGAGATGAGGAGAGCGAGAGAGATTGTTTGGTTGCTGCTGTGTGTATGATATATATATATATATATACAGAATGTATTTTGGTCACCTACTCTTGTAACGACCCCAAAATCCGTATCTGAAAGTACTTTTATGTCCTCATGGGTTCACGTATTTTAATTTAATAATATCTGTTCGAATTGAGGAATTATCTGTTGAGTCACGGCTTTAAAATTTAATTTACCGACCATTATGGGTTCAGAAATCAAAATTGAGTGCTTGGTCATGTTAATGGGAGTTTTTAGAACTAACTGGGTAAAGTAATTGGAAATCCAATTTGTCTGATTCGTTAATGCACGTTTGGTTGGTTAACTTTATACTGCCAATTGAAGGCCTTAGAGGCTTTAGAAACCAGAACAGAGGACATATTTATGATCAGCGTAATTTTTAGAGTCACTTGGGAAAATTAATTGAAATTTGATTTCTGCGCGATTCGTAAGGCCACGTTTGGCTCTCCCTATTGTGTTAAGTCATGTGTGTGTGTGTATTTAGATATATAGATGTGTTTTGAGTGATTGGTCTCATCTTTTGGGAGCCAAAATATCTAAAAGAGAGAAGAGAACCGTGAGAGAGAAAGAGAGAAGGGAGACCAAGATTCATGATGGAAAGCTCAACAACCATGGGGGTTGAAGATGATTGAAGGGAATTGAAGAAAGAGAAAGGACATCAACGATGGAGGCTTGAGGAAATAGAGGAGAATTAAGAGGAAGACAAAGATTGAACAAAGGTAAGATAATTTATCTTGAATCCTTGTGTTCTATACATCAATTTCATGAAACCATGATGATATGGAAAGATTTGAGATCATTGGAGTTAGGGTTCTATATATGTATTTGATTGAATTCAATTTAAGGAAGGAGACCTTGGGTTCTATGGTTTTGTTTATGATTGGAGCTCAATCTTATGAATACCATATGAAATGCACCTTAGAATTGTCCATCAAGGAAGAATTGAGTGAATTTTTGGGTTGTGGGTTGTGTCCTAAGAACCTTGAAGATCATGAAAGATTAAGCATGAATCTTGAACTTGGAGGCAAAGATTGGTTTGTTTGAAATGAGATTACACTTGGGTAATGTTAATTTATCATGTCATGGGGGCAACTTTACATGTTTTTAAGAGAAACCAAGTTTAAAAATGGAAAAAAGCCAAGTGCTGGGGCAAAAAGAGCCATTTTCGGACTCCAGGTTGCCTAGAGCCGCACGTGCGGCGGGTCTTCCCGCACGTGCGGCGCCACAGTGCCAAAACCAAAATTGAATCTGCTAAAAAAGCACGTTCTCCCGCACGTGCGGCTCTGTTTCCCGCACGTGCGGGGAGACAGCTCTGTTCGCCCAACTTTGAACAAGCATATCTTTTGCATCCGGACTCCATTTTGAGTGATTCTTGAGCCTGAAATCAAGCCCCGGAAGTCTAGTTTCCAATGGTGGTGGTCTCACTCCCAAATTCTAAATACAGAAATAGTTATGCCCAAATTAGTGACGACTGTTCACTTTCTGTTCACCGGTTTGTACCATTTCTTCGTCTGAACCATTTTCCTATCGATTTCTCCTATCTTCTGAGACATGGATTATGAATTATTAGAGGTTAACGAGTTTACTACCGATTTGACTAATTGGTTAAAGAGTAAAGTAATGAATCGGGTATGTTCTTATAATGCTATGTGCATTGTGTTTGTAGGTCAAGATGAGGACATCGTCCCACTGCTACCAGAATCTATCACTGTGAATAATAGTACTACAAATGTGTATTATTTACCATTAATAATTGTTGTTATTAACATCCTACTCTCCGTGAGCTAATATGTTAACATGTATGTTGATTGGGAATTGATGTGAACATTGAAAGAGTTAGCACGCATCGGTATGACTCTGAACCTACTCCGTATTTTGGGTTATGGCTAATGATCATTGGTAATGTTAAAGTTCTGCTAATTACGAGACAAGTATGTCGACTTACAAAGAACTATGAGGAAATCTAAGCGCATCATTATACCATACGTTTTGTCTGCTATTGATAATTAATGTTAGCATTCTGTTATCTACTGGCTAGTGGTATTGAAACATGATAAGCAAATGGGATGTGTATGCATTATGGAACTATGGTATCTATGTATCTCTGGAAGCATTCAATCTGTGAAATGTGTTCACCTTTTGCTACCAATTATCAGCAATGTTCTGTTAAACTTATATTATCTATGATAATTCATGTAAATAATGGGAAGAATGTGCGTATTTTCTGTATGATTCTGAAGTTAATCTGTTCTGATGTTTTCTGGTATAGAACAAAGTGTTGTACGAAACTAAGAGCTACACCTTGGTGGGATCCACCTCTAGAATCCGTGCGAGCCATCTCTTGAGTCCATACATATGTATTTCTGGGCTGATGGCCGTTCTGTTATTTCTGGGCCGATGGCCGTTCTGTACCTGTTAGGCCTATGGCCGTTCTGTATTATATATGGGCCCAAGGCCATTCTGTATTATATGAGAACCTGAGACCGTATTGAAATATAGTTATGGATAAGACCTGCTTATGGTTGGTATCTATCTATTTATTTTATCCAAGGTTTTGCTTATTCAATTAACCTTCTTAAGTTGCTATTATTCACTGAGTCTTGCTCATTCTGTTTTATGTATATTTCTCTGTAGGTAAGCCATTGGGGGATTGACTCTAGAGTTGTACTGAGCTTTGTTTGTCTGCCAAGTCACCTCGGGTATGTCTCCATGTGGAGGCTTTAATTTATTGTTGGGAGTCTTATAAATTAGTAAGTCTTATATACGTGTGTGTGAGATCTATGTCAAATCTGTGATTGTATATGTATATGCATATTTGGAAATGTATTTAAATGCTTAAATCCAATTAAACCATCACGTATGCACAAGCTCAACGGATGTTGACTTTTGTTGTTGTTGCTTCCGCCTAAGGCCCCATATATGTTTAAATATTATTTTAAAATTTTGTTTTGAGGCCTAAATACAGGCCGGTCATGGACCAAACTTTTAGGGGTGAGTTTGGGTCGTGACAACTCTCCTTTGATGAAGTATTTTTTTTATGTTATTTTAATTTTTTTTTGCAGATCTTTCTTTCAACCCTCTGGTCTTCAATCCATGACCACCTCTGTGTTTCAGATCTTCAATTTCATTTATATATATATATATATATATGTATCATCTCATTGATTTTTCAATATATATAAATTAGATTAACTTGTATGTATATAGGTATGTATATCATCTCATTGTTGTTGTTGATTGTTGATGTGGTTGTTATTGTTGATATTGTTGTTGTTGAGGAAGAAAAAATAGAGAATCATTGCTAGATTATTATTGTTGTTCATCTCAGATCTAACACATATTCATTGTTGCTGCTGTTCTGTTTTTCTTTTTTTTTTTCATTTTTTTTTTTGGCCCGGGAAATTTTCGGGGTTGGGGAAAACCGATCCCCGTTAGGGGATGGGGGGCGGGGACGATGATAGGTCCCCCGTCGGGGATCGGGGCCGGGGACGTGGTAATTTTCACCATCGGGGATCGAGGACGGGAAGGGTGATCCCCGCCCCCGTCCCGCCCCGTTGCCATTCCTATAGGTGTGGTGTCGTGTGGGAAACAACACCAACAAATATGTTTGGTTTTAATAATTTTTAAGAAATTAAGGGAATGTTTGGTTTGGCTTTGTAGACTGATTTTAGAAAAAAAAAAATTAAAATTTGTTTGGTTTGTAATTTTTTCAAAATCACTTTTTCTTTTTTACCATCAATCAATCCCTTTTTCTTTCTCCTCTCTCATTCTCAATCATTTTTTCTCTCACACACATCTACTCAATTATAACAAAATATCAAATCATTCCAAACTCTAAACTTCCAAAACAACTTTCAAAATACACAGCCAAACAAACTAAAAAAAATTCTAAACTCCCTTCCCAAAACAATTTTTTAAAACTATTATCTCAAAACCAAACCAAACCAAACCAAACATACCCTAAATTTTTAATTTTTTTGTGAATATTTTATTTTTAATAAATATTTTTAAAATTTTAAATAATTTTTTTATATTTTTTTAGATATATCTTATTTAGATGTATTTAAAAAATAAAATATTTGTAAAAAATATTTTAAAACATTAATAAATATATGTTAGGTATATTTAAAAATTAAAAAAATTACTTAAAATATTAAAAAAATTCAGTAAAAATAAAAATAGTTAAATTAGTTTGGAAAATTATATATTTGCCTTTCATTTGACATTGATTTTTTGAGTTAAATTAGTTAAAAAAATAAATTAAATTAAAAAATTAATGAGATAAAATATTACATTTAAATTATAATTATTTTATTTTTTTTATAAAAATAAAAAAATAATCTAATAAATATTTTTTATAAAAATAAAAAATAATCTAATAAATATTTTATTAAAAAATAAAAAAATAATAAAAAACGAACTAAAAAAATTACATGTCAAACGACTACATATTCTAGTGAATGTCGCTAGCATATATAATATATATACATGACAAAAATGTAAAAATAAATAACAACTAGTGCTGCCTGAACCGAAACCGAACCAACCTCTTTTTCGATCAAAAAAAATTCCAGCGAAATTTTCATGTCCATCTTGCCTTCCAAGGATCTAGGTTCAGCATCGTCTTCTTCGTCTCAGGCTCCTCAAAACCCTAATAATTCCAATCATGGACTCATCTTCCTTCATCATCATCATCCACACCCACAACTTCAACCCCATCTCTCTCAATCTCCTCCCATCGAATCTCAATCTCTCCACTCGCTTCAGATCTCTAACCCCATCGATATTATTTCAGGTGATACTTTCTCTTCTAGGGTTTATGTATTGTTTGCTCCCTCCCTCCCTCCTGATTCTTTTTTTTTTGTTTTTATTTTTTTACATGCGAATGTGAAACCCTAGAATTTTGACCTCAAAGTTCGAAATTTCTTTCTTTAATAATGTCTTATTCGAGATTATTTATTTATTTATTTCTTCTTCTTCTTCTTCTTTAATGTCTTGTTCGAGATATTATTGGATTGTTGATTTCTGTATAATTATTTTTTCTTGGGCGACTAAATTTACAAGGAAGCTTGCATTGCACTTTCAGTGTTCACTAGTCTGTGGTGCTGAGTTATGTGATTTCATTGTGAAGGAAAGGAGGGGAGGGGAGGGATTGTGATTTGCATGTGGGTGTCTCTGTCTGAGATGTTTGTTTGTTCCTGCAGTGCATTGGAGAAGATGTACTTACTGACATTTGTTTATTCATTTTGTTAGGATCGGTGGCTCCAGCTTCAGAAAATTCTAGTGGATCTTCCAAAAAGGTGCTTTCATATTATTCATATTTGACTTTACGTGTACCAGGAATGTTATGTTTCTAACTGTCCCATTTTACATCTACAAACTGAAACCTCGACAAGTTGGTTTTTTAAGAATTAGAAACTGAACCTTGCTTGACTAATTGGTTTATACAACCTTATTGTTATTGTTATTTTCGGTCCCTTCCTTCCTCCTGGAAGATAACATGACCATGCGGTATTGAAACCAGTGGCTGATGATGAATTCCGATTTTCTGTTTTATTATTCAGAAGATAGATAGTATTTTGGTCCACTTGCTTATATTGGATTGTATTTGCACTTCTTTTGTCCATTTATTAGTTGCCGAGCCTCATCCTTCCTTTCCAGGTGAACGAATCATGGAAACCAAATGGTAAGAAACTTCTGGTCCACCAAAACAATGTTACAAATTCTCATTGTGATGCTTCTTTTGGCCAAGAGGTTGGATCTGCTCAGCACAGAGAGAAGCTGTCTGGAACTGTTGTTTCTCCACATAGTCAACGGGCTTCTGGTTCTATCAATTGTCAAGCAAGCTCTACACATACAGCAGGAAGAAAAACCCAGATGGTGAATGGAAACCACCTGCTAAATTTTCATTATGATCCTATTTCTCGTCCACAACCAAGGGCTCCTCCTCCACGAAGACATCAAAAGAGGAAGCCTTACAACAAAGATTTGTTCCTTCAAGCAAATTACAAATTTGTTGTGTTAGACTCTGGCGACTATACTCCCGAGTCACTGGATCCAGATAAAATGTTGAGGTGGGAAGATATTATATGTATGAAGTTGTCAACTCAATTTCCTGTACAATGCCCTATATGTTTGGATGATCCTCTTTGTCCACAGATAACCTCGTGTGGTCACATTTTTTGTTTCCCTTGTATTCTGCGCTACTTTTTAATTGGTGAAGATGATCATAAAGGTGAATGCTGGAAAAAGTGCCCTTTATGTTTTATGATGATATCTTCAAAGGATTTGTATACGATCTACATTGAGAATGTTAAGCAGCACTGCGTTAGTGATACTGCAGAGTTTATGCTTTTAACCCGTCCAAAAGACTCGATTACTTTATCCCTGAAAAACAAACAAGGGATAGGTACCAATGAAGACGCTCCTGCTTCCTTTTCGAAGTTTATTTTCACATCAGATGTGGACCTGTCAGTTAGAAAGGCCATATCAGATCTAGATAGTTGGCTAGCCAGAGCAGATTCAGGACTTGTGGATGACTTGGAGAAACTTCCTTATGTTTGTGCTGCAATGGAACAATTAGAGCATAGGAGAAAATATTGGAATGAGCAGCGGGTTAGTCATGTCAATATTGCTGGTCATGAACCTTGCAAGTTGGATGGTGAGGTCTGTTTGGATCAAAATGTTGATGTGTTTGAACCATTTGGAGAGCAAGAGGGTGCTTTATCTTCTTCGTATGAAGATAGTAAGAGTGTGCAGAGGAACTTTGATGGCTTGAGGGATAGAAACGAAAAGGATTCATACAATTTCTATCAGGTAATTGATAATGAGATAGCAGTTTTTGTATTTTACCTGGGAAAGAAAGGGAATGTAATGAAGTTTGCTTATAGTCAGTCAGATGAGTAACATGTGGCGACTGTACACACCTAGATGATAGGTGCAATTTGCATCTATCATCCATGTATAATGTATTTCTAAATATAGGTGTTAATGTTTAATCTACAGAAGTGGCTGCATCTTTATGCTAGAGAGCAGTCCAATGAGTCCGTACTTGGATAAATGCTTCTACATGCATCAAGGTTTGATTCTTTTGGGATTCAATTGGGTCAGACGATCCTATATTTTATGACTCCTTCAAGAAGTGATTGAATTTCTCATTGTTTTTTCAGTTTATTTTAATAGAAAGGACAAAAGTTGTTCCATAAATTTCAAAAATGCTTTTGCCATGCTAGTTATTTGTTATAAACAAGATGATTCAGTCATGAAACTACATTTTCCAATAAAAACTATGTTTTTCTGACTCTTCTGCTTGTGAGGCAATTAGTTCATCAGGTAGGATTTATAATATTAAAATGCATATATAACAGTGAAGCCCTGTGTAAATCATATAAGCAGGCTGTCTCATTATCAGGTTCCATGACTCACTTTAGGCTTCTAGTCTAGTCATATATGCCTGCTGCCTATAAGAAGAGCTATTGCCGGTCTGTTTTCATGCCCTTTAAATGGTGATGTGTGATTCCATAATGGTTGTTTACAGATCTGTGTTTGTCTATTTCAGGCTGTTGATGGTCAGCACCTAATCCTTCATCCTTTAAACATGAAGTGTCTTCTACACCATCATGGGAGCTATGATATGCTTCCACACAGGTTTGTGAGAAACTGAAACTTTATGCACCTCTACCAAATAGATACATTTATATTTTTTGGCTGAAAGTGAAGATTGAAACTTTTGTCCTGTACATTTTATAATTCCTTCAGTCACTATCTGTTATGCAACTTTATTAGCTGCAAAATTACTGTGTAATTTGTAATTTATACTGACATTTTTATTTATTTATTTATTTTTTAAAAGTTTTGCATGATATACTCATTAGTGCACCATGGAAATTTTTTTCCAAATGTGTGGATTATTTTATTATTTTTATTTTTCCCAGTGAAATCACCCAATTAGAAACACTTCATATGAGTGAACTAAACAAGAAGAATTATGTTGAAGATTGAAAACCATGGGTTTCAAAGAGTTGTACTATTTTATATTCTTACTGTGTCCTTTTTTTTTTTCTATATATAAAAAGAAAACATAGTTTGATGGTTTTTTTAATAGGTTTGGAAAACATCAAAACCTAGTAGGACTGAGTTCTGTGTGCCCGCACAAGCGGGTAGCGCTGCCATTAATTCTGAGCCAAGCCAAGCTAGTCCATTTGAGTATCCTTCAAGTGGGCTTCAAGACCAGGATTCCGGACATCTATAGAATTGCAGATTGTTACCACTGCTCGAGTTAGGTTCAAGCACACTTCAAGTGGAGGCTAATGGATTGTTTGCCCAAAATCCTTGTGGTCTACTCGAGTGGAGGCCCTTGGGAATTATGCACTAATCCTTTTTCCCCTTAAAATGGAGTTTGAAACCTATTAGGACTAGAAATGAGTCAAATAGGACAATTTTAACCCTTCATATCCAGATCAGATGGCTGCAATCATTCCTCTACCAGTGTGACGTAGCTGCTAAATGTGCTTGTGTTGCTTCCTTCTTGATCCATTAGCTCTTTTAACTAGTGTTTATGAATTACAGAATCAGTGGAAAGATTTTACAATTGGAGACAGTAACTCAATCAGAGGCCATAAGGAGGCGTTACCGTTTCTTAAGCCATTTTTCTTTGACAACAACATTTCAGGTATACCTTTTCTGTTGGATCATTCATATCCGAAGTGGTATGTTTATTATATGAAATAATTTATTCTCTTGTTTTTCAGCTTTGTGAAATTGATCTCAGTGATTCGTTGCCTCCTGATGCTCTTTCTCCATTTATGGATGAAATTAAGAATCGGGAAAAGCAGAGAAAGCGTCTTGCGAGGAAGGTATCATCTCTAATTTTTTCGTCTGGTATATGATTTACATCTCCTAGAAATCTATATTCATCATCCAGCATTATGGCCTATGACATTTATCATTTATGTGATTATGGTGTTTTAGCACTTGTCAATTAAAAAAAAGAAAAAGAAAAAGAAAAAGAAAAGGAAAAAAGAAGAGATGATTAAAGTGTTACGGTATATTTGTCCTTTATCATCACAAAATCTGACTCATGGCAACCGTGATTAATAATAGTTTGAGTGGTATATGTACATCTGTTTGTGCTTGCATTGTCGTGGAAGAAAGCATACTTGTCTTTCCCTTTTTTAATGGCTTGAGTGGTATATGCACAACAAATGTGCACACGTGTGCTTGCTCATACATCACTTGAATGCTCTGAGTTACAAAGCTTTTAAAAAAAGGATTCCTATGCTGAAAATCATTTTACTTCGCAATTAAAACCCTTCTTTTCTACTCTTGTCATAGATGTGCTGTAACATTGCTCTGTGCACACTTCCTCCATATAATGCATAATGCACTGTGATGGTCTTAAGAGGACTGTGTGGATTGATTTGGTATATTTTTGTTACTATCCTACTATTAATGTTGCACAAATATCATAATCAAGGTGTTTATTTATAGTGTTCTTCAGTATTGTTGTGTTATGTGTACTATATTTTTTCACATATAGGTTATTAATGCATCAAAAATCCACACCCATGTGAGTGTTTGGTAGAATATTTGGGGTCCCTAGTGTTGCTTTTAATGCATTGTGGTTAAGGAACTATTTAGATTTCACATGCTACTTCTTTCCAGGAACGGGAGGAGAAAAACAGGGCTGAGGTTGTTTCAACACATTGTGTGCTCGTACCATCTAATTTTGCACAATGCTCTCGTGATACTTCCCCTACCTTCTCCATGGATGACTTTGAAGGTGATATTTTGTTCATTATAAAATGTTGGTTGAAGTAACTGTAATGAAATGAACTCCAGAAGGCTGTATGTAGGATAAATATTAGTTTTTGAAGCACAGGATTTGTTAATTGATCTGTTCGAAATAAAACACACTGGGTAATCTCCTTGTCCTTGGCTTGTTGGGACTTAAGACTTGTTTAAAAGTTGTGCTCAAGGAAGTTGAAGTTCTATATGGTGTGCTTGAAATATTTCTACCCGTGGTTCCATCAAGATAACTTTTGTTCAGTGATTATGCTCCCATTGAATTGTCTATTTTTCAGGATGTTGTATGTTAAAATGATTCTCCGATTTTGCTTGTTCTCCTTGGGCCATTTGTCCAATCTGAAAAACTCTTAGATCCTGTATTTTTTCTTTCCACACGCATCTTCAAAAGCTATGCTATTTTCAGAGCCCCTTTGCATGAAGTTTTTGATGCATGGATCTTAGCGAAATGACTAATGTGCTATTCTTCCTTGTGTTCCCATTTTTTAAGCTTTGGGAAGTTCTGTTACATCATCAAGCCTTCCAACTACGTCATCAAGCCCTCCAACTCTCAGGGAAAAGAAGCTGTTTGCAAATGTTGCAAAGCTGGGTTTTGCAGCTGCGCATGACTCTCCAGCCTTGAAAATTGATGGCACGCATAAACTTGAAGTGACAAGCAATTCTCCTAGTATGAATGGTATTCTCTAGCCCCAATTATTATTTTGGCTGCCTGAGACCCCATGTTTTAGGCTTCTATTTTCCTTCATGACATGGGTACCTGGACGAACGCATTATTATCAGCATACTGAGATGTATTTTGGCAAAGCTTAAATCGGCAAATTATTTCTTTATTTTCTCTCCTAATACTCTTTTCATTATTCTATGGCTTGCTTTGGAATATGTATGTTCGCCCATTACTAGACTGTTTTGTTTTCTGTAGGTTTGAGGAATGATGGTACTCCATCGTTTGCGAATATAATATCCAGAGCAAAAACTTTTGAAGGCCCAGATGCGTCCAAAATGAATGAGATGGCCAAGAAAGGGAAGAAACCGAGTAAAGTCCTCCTGTCGACAGCTGGTGGTCGGCGCTACTAAAAGCTGTCGCAAACACTATTTGTGTAAAACTAGAATCTGTATATTTTGATGATATGTGAACTCCAAGCAAGAATCTGTGGCTGTTAGATGGCAACAAATAATAACTTACATCTGTTTGTTGTTTTTTTTGTTCCCTGTATAGTTTTAAATGAATAAGAGGTTACTATTAGAACCGAACCATCAGACCAATCGACCAGCGAGCAATTGGTCTGTTTAATGCTGAGTTCCACAGCCAGGTTTTGAGTTTCATTTCCAGAAATGCTGGACACCCACAAATTATTCACAATGACATGGCAAGAGAGTTCGGCATTAGATGGTTGAGTTTGTAACAAATGAAAAATTGATATGTAGTTGTCAATGTGGGTAAAAATGGGAGTCTCAATCTTTTCCGTTTTGTTTGGAGGGAAATGTTTGAGTCCTTCAAAAAAATTCTACATTTTTACTCACAATATGGGTTATGATAAGGTGTCAACTTTTAATTTATTTTACACTCAAGGTTTAACTTTTAATTTAATTTATTTCACAATATGGGGAAATGGTAAGGTTCATCTACCTTGTGCGTAATTATGGGTGGGCGAAGTTACAAAAAAAAAAAAAAAACATAAAGAAGAAAACACATAGCTGAACACCAGATTGGCTTTAATAGGAAAGGAGTGCGTTTAAGAAATACAGAGACTGGCGTTTGTTTGAGATTGGGCTGCAGTTGCAGTACACTCACAAGCTACAAACACCTCCTCCTTAACATAACATCATATGGTGGAATTGTGGATGCCAAACCTAAAAAAGACCTTCCTTTCTCAGTGAAATAATTTTCATGCCACTTTTGTAACTTATTGCTTCTAAATTATCAACGACTCATTTACCATAAACATTCTGGCACATTGTGTAAATTGTATGGTATAGGTGAATTGAAAAGAGTTTAAATTGTATTTAGATGTCAACAGCATTTTGGGTAAATTGTATGGTATAGAAATATATGTCAACAGCATTTTGGGTCAGCTTTTATTATAATATTTTTTATTTTATTTTATTTTATTTATAAAACCTTTTAAATATTAACGTGTGTTTGGTTGAGAAATTTGAAAAGAAAAAAGAAAAAAAAGTGTGTAAAACTGTTAAATGTATATCTAAAAAGAATTTAAAGAATCAAATTTCAAAACCCTAAAAAACTTTTAAAAATTGAACACCATTCCGTGAAAACAAAATATAAACAATTTCTTTGTTTTCTTCAACTTAGTTTTTATTTTTTAAATTGAGTCTTCTAGTCTAAAAGTATCTAAAAATTAAATGTAAAAGAAACACAGTCAACAGTTTTGAAAACACGAATGATCTCATTCCAAAACCACCACCTTCTTCTTCTAACTGCCGCTGCTACTATAAGAGGATGCCCAAAGTCGCAGCACCAACTCCTCAGTGTTCGAAATTTGGTGGACGCCCGAATTATCAAAACTGGTTTCGACCCCAATACATGTCGCTCCAACTTCCAACTCTGCAATTTGCTTAGAAGAGGCGATTTTTCACTCGCACGCCGACTGTTCGACCAAATGCCTCACCAAAATGTTGTCTCTGCCAACATGTTGATTTCGTCTTATGTCAAGTCCGGCAATCTTTCAAAAGCAAGACAACTGTTTGATCACATGCTTGATCGCACAGCTGTCACTTGGACCATCTTGATTGGTGGGTATTCTCATCATAATCAACCCAAGCAAGCTTTTAGCCTATACAGAGAGATGCACAGGTGGGGGACTGACCCAGATTACGTGACATTTGCGACTCTCCTATCTGGATGCGATGATTCCATCACGGGAAAACAAGTAGTTCAAATTCATGCCCATATCGTCAAATTCGGACATGATTCAACTCTTATTGTTTGCAACAGCTTGCTTGATTCCTATTGCAAATGTCGTTGTCTTGATCCGGCCTTTGAGCTTTTCAAGGCAATGCCTGCCAGAGATTCTGTCACATTCAATGCCTTGATAACAGGGTACACTAAAGATGGACTGAATGAAGCTGCCATACACCTGTTTATAGAAATGCAAAATTTGGGTTTGAAGCCAACTGAGTTTACTTTTGCCGCAGTGCTATGTGCCAGCATTGGGTTAGACGGCATTGCTCTTGGGCAACAAGTTCACGGTTTTGTGCTCAAGACCAATTTTGTTTGGAATGTGTTCGTGGGCAATGCCTTGCTGGATTTCTACTCAAAGCATGACTGCATTTATTATGCAAGAAAACTCTTTGATGAGATGCCGGAGTTGGATGGTGTCTCTTATAATGTGATAATCACGGGATATGCATGGGATGGGCAATACAAAGAATCACTTCGTCTCTTCCGTGAATTACAGCAGCTCACTGGGTTTGATAGGAGACAATTGCCTTTCTCAACCATGTTGAGCATAGCAGCAAATACATCAAATTTAGAAATGGGCAGGCAAATTCATTCCCAAACAATTGTGACGGCAGCTGATTCAGAATCTTTGGTAGGGAATTCGCTGGTGGACATGTATGCCAAATGTGACAGATTTAAAGAAGCCAATATGGTATTTGCCAACCTGGCCCACATAAACTCAGTTCCATGGACAGCCATGATCTCAGCTTATGTTCAGAAAGGACTCCATGAAGAAGGCCTTAAACTATTCAACAATATGCATAGAGCTAATGTACGCCCTGACCAGGCCACTTTTGCAAGCGTGCTAAGAGCTTCAGCAAATTTGGCTTCGATTTCACAAGGAAAGCAATTCCACTCATGCCTAATCAGATCGGGATTCATGTCCAATGTTTTCTGCGGTAGTGCACTTCTAGACATGTATGCAAAATGTGGATCCATAGAAGGTGCCATTCAAACTTTCCAAGAAATGCCAGACAGAAATGTAGTCTCTTGGAATGCGTTGATCTCGGCTAATGCTCAGAATGGGGACGGCGAGGCCACTATGAGGTCATTCAAACAGATGGTTCAGTCAGGTCTCCAACCGGATTCAGTAAGCTTCCTCAGCGTACTAACTGCTTGCAGCCACCGAGGTCTTGTTGAAGAAGGTTTGCAGTATTTCAATTCCATGGCTCAAATCTATAAAATTGTTCCAAAAAGAGAACATTATGCATCTGTGGTTGATGTCTTGTGTCGAAGTGGACGATTCAATGAAGCGGAGAAGTTAATGGCTCAAATGCCATTCAAACCCGATGAGATCCTGTGGTCATCAATTCTAAATTCATGTAGAATCCATAGGAACCAAGAACTTGCTAAAAAAGCAGCAGACCAACTATTCAACATGGACAAGCTTAGAGATGCTGGTTCTTATGTCACTATGTCTAATATATATGCAGCGGCAGGCCAGTGGGAAAATGTTGGGAAGGTGAAGAAGGCCATGAGGGATCGAGGAGTTAAAAAGGTACCTGCTTATAGTTGGGTAGAAATAAAACACAAGATTCATGTATTCTCCGCAAATGATAAGATCCACCCACAAATGGATGAGATCAGGAGAAAGATTGAAATGTTGACTCTGCGGATGGAGGAAGAAGGGTACAAGCCCGACCTAAGTTGTGCCCTTCACAATGTGGATGAGGAAATCAAAGTGGAGTCCCTTAAATATCACAGTGAGCGCTTAGCTATTGCATTTTCATTAATCAGTACCCCTGAGGGTTCATCAATACTGGTGATGAAGAACTTAAGGGCCTGTACAGACTGCCATGCTGCAATCAAGGTGATTTCAAAGATCGTTGGTCGTGAAATTACAGTGAGGGATTCAAGCAGATTCCATCATTTTAGATATGGGCTCTGCTCATGTGGGGATTATTGGTGATTTTGTGGACCAAAGGGGAAGGTTTCTTTCACTGGCAGCAGGCCAAATCAAGGGGATAAATCCAAGGCGACAGCCAGACGCTACGATTTTACTCTGGAGAAAATGCAGTGACTAGGGAAAGTCTGAGTTTCTGTGGAGAATTCGCACAGATTGTGTAATTACTTACTCTGAGAGACGGGCAAAGCTACGAATCTCTGATGCCCATGCAACGCATATTGGATTTGCATCATCAATTTCCTCGTGTATAAACATAGTGACAAAGTTTATTGAGGTATTTCTTATTCTATTTACTCCATTGATCAAAATAAGCTCTTGATAGGAGCCCAAGTGAGGAACCGTCTAACAAATTTTAGGTCTCAATTTTGGTGCAGTTAATTTGGGAAACCAGTAGTGGATCTTGATGGTCCCTCCTCCAAACATGTATGCAGAAGAAATGGATCTTCATAAAAACAATACCCAATTAGTATACATTAACGTGTATTTGGAAGGGGAAAGATTGGGTATACACTTAACTTTTAGCAATTGCACAAAGTGGTTGCCCCGTGAGTTGAACCCATAACCTCAAGGTTAATGCTGGAAATTGCAAGGGCATTGCGAGTTTACACATGAAGGAAGCACATGCACCAGCAACACCGCTTCTTACTCGAGGATGGCTGCATCTTCTTCCAGGGTTCTCTCCCTTTTGCTGCTACTGAGGAAATCATTGCTGATTCACTTTCCATATAGTGATCATCCTGTATTTTTGTTGCCTAGGTCAGGCTGTTTATGAGATGTTGCCCCTTGCCTATGTTAATTGCTGACAACACTTGATCTGTTCAGAAATTGTATTTCTAAAGCAGTCAGGCACTGAATTTCATTGAAAGTCTTTCAAGGGATGGATAGCAAAGAAAGAACATACAGAGGATGTCATTTTCAGGTGTTCAAAAACCGAGAAGAATCGACAACATCAAATGTCAAAGAAAGAAGAGTGATTCTCTCCACATCCATTCACGACATAAACTCCATATCTACAAAACTATACCAAATTTCATTTCCTCTTCTTGTTGAGCAAATTGTCGAGAACCTCCTTCAAGGAGTTGAACTTTAATTTTGGCGGGGGTATTTAACTTCGACTCGTGTTTAACTTACTAATTTTATTTGAAACTATTTCATTAGGTAAACAAATCAAAATTGAGCATATTTGAAGCTCCTTAGTTCAACTTAACCTGACTCAATAAAATAAATTTACATACACTTGGGACTGCATATAAAAAAAACAAAGAAAAACTTGAAATCTCACTTACCTTGACACCTAATTGCCCTCTTCATAACTACTTGGGGCAATTGGCTGGGGTCTCATTGTAGGTAGTCTTTTGCGCCCATAAATTAGTAATAGTAATGTTGCAGTGACCAAAGTTTGATTTCTGTTATCAAAAGTAAAAAACCTACTACTAATACTGCTAACTAACATAGCAGCGCTCATCAAAACTTGCTGGGCACATTTCCCTGCCCCTTCCTCCAGGGGAAGGTTGACCAAATTCACCAATATAAGTAATTTTCAGAGGCTAACATAACAAAAATTGTAAAATAAGACCACACACATGACCGAAGTATTTTGTTCACCTCCATTGCAATTTGATACCATCAATCCAGTAACAACAGTAGTGTTAATGATTCAAATAAAAATGCTGAATAAAAAACCACCTCTGGCCACTATTTTAACCAAAAGCATCCACACTGGAGGATAATAATAGCTATTACAACAGAATGCATTTTCCATTATCCAATTACCCACCACCAGTACAGAGGACAAAAACGGGTCCTTTGAAAGAATGAATAGGAAAAAAAATACTAGTGAATTTAGAATAAAACCTAAGAGTCTTTGATCTATTTCTGACACAGTCAACTGCTACAAAGACCTTATTGCATAAACCATTGGATATATTTGATATCCATCAAACAAGAATAGTTTTGCATACTACATCCTAATAATTGTAACAGGTAACTCCTCGGTTTAAAATGTAACCATATCTAGAGAACACATCAATTACCGTTGATCTAGAAGCCAGTCAACATCCATTTGGCAACACTGAAAAGGAACCATTCTGAGATCCACATTCCCAATCTAGTTCTGACATATCACTCTCAAAGAAGGCAGAGTGGAGAGCCCTCACACATTGTTCTGCCTCACTATCATGTACTATCAATGAGATGTTAACCTGGTTGGCAGCAACAACAAAACAATCTCTTAAAACAGATGAAGAGAAAAAAAATGTAAAACATTTTCTTCCGCAAACTCGAGACTTCATGACCACATCCAGTGCAAGAATGTCTATGCAGACGCAATATTGTCCAACTTAGAGTTACTAGATGAGAACAAAATATATAATTCCCGATGATCTGATTTTGTCCCCTTAGTATTTTGTTTATATTTTTTAAAATTACTATTACCAAGGTACTTTGGAAATCAGAATTTACTAAAATGGCACAATTAGTGCTACATCCTGAATCATTGAACATATGTGAATAGGTGGTCATTGTGATAAAGACCTCATCGTGGGTCTGAGAGCTGAATTATGCCATACAAAAATACATGCAAGAGAGAAAAGGATATGGTTGTCTAAATACCTTAGATGCACCTTGAGAGATCATCTGAACATTGACCCCATTGGTGCGAAGGACACGAAACACCTGCCAGAAAATGCACCCAAGAGAAAGAATCAAAATCAGAACCAAATAGTCACACACAAATGAGAAGCCAATGATGGTCGAATCTGGCTTCATTAAAGGGTGAACAATGCTACTCACCATGCAATAGAGAACACAAAGATTAAGAATATAGGGGATTACTTGAGTGTTTGAAAGAACGAATAAGAGTGATTTCCTAATGACCGTTAAGATGAGTTTTAATAGAACATTTACGTGGGAAGTCAAAAACTGTGAAGATATATATATGTTATAGAAAAAAGAAAAAAAAAGAAAAGAACAGAAGGGAGATAAATTAAAATTACGTAATCCACACAAATGTATCACCACAGGACAAGGGAGTCACCCAGTCCCACCAAAACAAAAAATACCACACAAAAAACAAGAAGTCCAAACAGACTCTAAAGTATAGTATGATACACTACCTTCTCTAGTATCAGCGATGACCTTTGAACATTCCCAATCAGAGATATAATTGATCTTTTCTGAAGGAGATTTACAACTGCAATTTTTTCAAGTTCTTCCACAACATGGTCAAGCTCCTGTTCAAAGAAGACATAATACCAAATAAGGTTAGAAATTCACAGTTGAAGCACTAGAGAAGATAAAACTTTGTCACTATATCCAATACCAAAAAGGTTGAAAGCATATTGTATTTGGTAAAGTGATTATAAATAATTAGGGTTTCATTTTATCAGACTCCTTGCATACAGTATCAACATGTGCACCCATTAAAGGGGTTCATGCATTCAAAGAGATCATCCATATGGCAAAAAAGTTATTTCCAAACAGTCAACATGAACTATGTGGGGATGAAAACCTAGACGAAGAACGATATCGTACGCTTGCCTGCTGAATCAACTCCCTGCTCCAGAGCTTTGATGGATCCAAAGTCAAGGAAATACTAACTTCACTTGTAGCTACAACATCCACAGAAATGCCTAAATCTTCAAAGGTTGAGAATACCTGCACAGAAGTCAATTCCAAGCATAGTGCATTAAAGCTTGGAAGAGCAATGGAACCAACCCAAGGACAGAAAGAACTTGACACAGTACTTAGCTCCTTTACCTTGGCAAGGAAGCCATATTGACCAAGCATGCGAGTGCTAACAATATCCAACATGGTCACATTCCGTTTCAAGACAATGCTAGTCAATACTGCCTAGAATTAGAAAATTGCATGTTATAAGCTGTTTAAATTTCCTATAAAATAATGAGTTTCATTTACTGCAGAGGATGCTGCTACACACCTTACTCATATCTCTTGCTCTAGTGATGAGGGTACCTGGAGCTTTAGGGTTGTATGAATTCTTAACCCTAACAGGAATATCACCTTCTCTTGCCGGCCTCATAGACTGTGGATGCAGGACCTTTAAAAGCACAAAAACAATGCATCTAGCAAATTCATTATTATTTATCAATCAAAGCAAAGCAATCTATCAACTTACAACTTTGTCAAATTATGCAGCAACCAACAAGTATCTAGGATGCATTAATGAGTTACAAACTTGTGTATACCAAAGGGTCATCAAAAGTACTTCTGGTTAAAATTTTTTTTTTTATCAATTTCAGCAACTAGAAATAATCAAAAAGCATGATAAGAAAAAATATAATAAGGTTCATAGCTTTGAAAAATCCAGTGAGTTCAACCACACAATTACCCAGTCTTACTTGTTATCCAGAAAAGCACAGTCAAAAGGTCCTAGGGACAAACACAATAAATCGAGTTTTTACCGCCAGTTAAGAACTGTGGTCAGGTTAGGAGCAGTTCTTAAAATCGAATTAATTTCATATATGGCCAGATTTAGATTAAGAGAGCAGGTCTGAATAATGCTGAGGATATATTTGAGCTAAAATCTGTTGGCTGATTCCAGAAATTTGGCATCCAGACTCAACCTTTTCTTTCTTGTTTTTAAAAATTCCCATACTCTTTTTTCTTTTTGGGAGGGTGGGAGGTGGGGGGAAGTTTTCCCTCGTCCTTTGCATGAGAACTTGGACAATTGCTTCAAATTATCAAGCTGAATCCATATGCAGAAAGTCCCCCGACAAGATTCAGCTGCAAATCCAGCTATTGTGACTAGTAATTCGAGCTACTGTGACAGATTTAGTGCAGGATAAGCATAAAAGAAACCACAAATAGAAACAAGATATTTCATGCAAATGCAAATTATAACCCGAGGCCATACCAAGCCCATGCAAAAAATTAATAATAAGTACAAAGCAATGCATGCCATAAAATGATGGGAAAGACTATGGTGCACACCTCTCAAATGGTGTGTACCGTATGCACCTTATAACTAAAGAAGAAAATGATACAATTTCATACTTTCAGAGTCATAACTAAAAAAAAAAAAAAAAAAAAAAATTAAGTTAAAAATAAATATCACATTAGATTTTATCAAAAAATTTTTAAATTAAAACAAAAAAAAATAGTCACTGCACAAGATCTCCAGCCCTGCAATCATAATGGATTTAAAATATCATTAAGACAGTCGCTCAAATGGTCAAGATTCAAGCAGATAATGACTTTTAAAGAGGAAAACTATCAAGGAACAACAGGCAGGAAGACCTTTCCAAGGAAGCCAGTAACAATAGGAATTGCAGGATCACTAATCCAATCACTGTGTAACCTCTTTGCAACAGCCGGATAAGTTGCTTCCAGAATATCCGCATTTGTGAAGTCATCTGTCGTTATGAAACCAATATCAAATGCATCGTACTGCAAAATGATGCACATCATTGTATTTAGTCATGATCAAAGAAATCATTAATGAGGTACCTGAAAGTACAGCAAACATTTTAACCAGCAGGACAGGTGACAGAAAGTTATATGTCTTACATTTAGGGGGTTAGGTTATATGTCAGAAAGTTAACAGAAAGAAACATTTAAAGTCATTTAACTGAGACAAATGTCAATGTCCAAAAGACATTTATGGAATCAAGTTATATGTACTTCTTTCAACCACAAATTACAAGCTTGAAAGAAGTAAAGAGGCTTCTAACATTCTTTCATCAGTAAAAGACTATTGCAAAATGGGATGTGGGTAGATGAAGATTCAAAAGGATCAAGATGCCTCAGATAATGATATACATGCACAAGTAGAAATCCAATAGACAACCTACAAGACAACAAAATTGTTCATGGAACTCAATAAATCAATAACCACACCAATCAAAAGCCCTACATGTACTTGACCATTTCAATTTTTCGTATCACATGTGAATCTTTTCCTTTTGGTTTAACTAGTACTGTCTCATATAAGGTCAAAAAAAATTATCAAGCAATACTAGCCTTTCCAGTTTATCTCAAATGTAAAACAAAGGGGATAAGCAAGCAAGTAAAAAACACAAAAAATTAGATAAACTATCAGAAAACAACATACTTGGCGAGCTTTAACACCAATTTTACTTAAATATGATGCAAAAATTCTTGTCGACATGCACTCCCCAAAAGAGACTAAGTAGTCTCTCGTACGTAGAGTTAACTCTTTCACTTGAGCAATTCCCTTCAGAAGTTGCTCCAATTCTTCTAGGTGTGCTGTAAAATATTTTCAGAATTAAAAACATAACCAAAACATACACAAGTAAGAATGCATGAACATCTCACTTTAAAAAAAAAGAAGTATTAGTATCATTTGAAAAAGTACATGGTCAATGAACATTATTTATACCCCATAAATAAATACTAGGTAAATCAAAAGTCCATGAAAATCATAAATGTGGAATAAGTTTTTATTTCATTGAATTGGCATTAGGTTGCCAATGTTGTTTATTTTTTAAAATTAGAGTTTGGTTTACTTTTATAACAGGCAATATCTCAGTGTACTATTTCTGCAATTTAATTTTCCCAAATATGCAGCAGCCTACATCTTCTCCAAAGAAGTAATAGAATTTGATGCACATCGTTCCATGAAGCAAAAAAATAGACAATGGCAGAGTGTGTAAGTGGTGGTATTGGGATATGGTAGCAAGATAATGAATGAAAAGTTACTAGTTAGTATATTGAAGTTTGTTTTACAGAAAGAAAAAAATATATATATATATATATATATATTAAGACTATACAACTTGAAGGAATTCAATTCATATCAACATAGAACAAGAGAACTTCATGGAAACGAAGGAACTTACTTGAAATAGTGGACCTGTCAATTCCTAGCTCATCCATAGTCCTAATAATGCATATATATGTACAATAAGAAGGAATTTAAAAGATAAAATATAAATGCAAATTTTCATCATCCAGATAAGAGGGGGGAGGAGGGGGAACATGAAAGAAGAAAAGATTTCCGACCTGAGGTGCAATTCTTTCACAAAATTGAACTCATCAACATCAGAGACATTGGAAACACCGCAAGTGACAGCCTTTTCTCCAGCCTGGTACAGAAAAGACCGATTTCAGTTGACACGTTATTCAGACGATGGAAAAAATTTGAAGACTAGATAACAAAATATGAAACACAGTAAGAATCAAGTATACCAGTAAAAGCTTGGTAGTAGTCTTTCCCATGGCAGAGAGAACTATGACAGGCCTCTCTTCTGGGAAGCTGAGAATAAGGTCAGCAACCTCTCTCATCCTGTCAGATGAGGCCACTGATGATCCACCAAACTTCATAACGCATGTCAGCTCATGGAAGACCCCATCACAATTTTGATTTTGAATTTTATTCCGCTCAAGCACATGGACAGTTGTTCCCTCGCAATTCACTCTTAAAACTCTCCTTGTGCAGGAAGTTTCTATAGCTCTAGTACATAATCCAGGAAGTGAAGCCGCAGATACAGCAAAACGAAGCTGGCAATGCAAATTTGTCCTCGAAAAAGAAGGGTGAGGATTTTTGACTCCACAAAAATGCAATGAAGTTGCCATTTTTAAAATAAAAAATAAAAAAAATAATAAAAAAAGGCTTTTTGCTATTCTATCAAAAGAGTGAATGGAGTGTGGCAAAAGCAAGTTAATTGGACAAATATGAGAAGGTTGGGTTGGGGGATGGGTATTCAAACAAACAATAAAGTGAGAGACAAGTGGGCTTCCGGTTTTGACACCAATATGATATCTAATAAAATGGACAATTTCTTTTAGTATGTAAATAAATTCCAAGAACTTGCAAGATTTCTGAGCTCGTCTCGTCTGCCAAATGATCTGCACATGGGCATTGCTTGATTGAATTAATTAATTGAAAACCAACACCAACACCAACACCAACACCAACACCAACAGAATGGAAATTTATATAAAATAACAGGAGAGGAGACAGACAAAGACAAAGACAAAGACAAAGACAGGAGGAGACATTTGATTTAATTTAATTTAAAGAAACACTAATTTGCAGTTTGGTCGCGGCGGGAGGAGAGGAGAGAATTGAGGAAACGGAGAGGACAAATACTAATACGTAATTTTGAAACTGTTTGATGCAGCTGTGTGTGCTGTGCTGCCGTTGAAAAAGATTTTTAACCAACAAAATATGTTACTGTTGTTTAATGGGCATCCCGGATCTCAACACAATCACAATCACAATCACAATCACAATCACAAGTTTTTATATCTTTTTTTAACTTTCCCGCATTTTATTACCAGCCAAACCCAAACCCAAACCCAAACCCAAACGGGGTACCTACCAATGGCAATGGAGAAAGAAAAATAACTGAAATGGAAATTACGAAACGTACCTGCAGACAGATCTGTGAACAGAACAGGGAGGGGAAGTGTCAAAAGCAGAGGAAGAGGTGGTGGTGGAGTGGTCTAGGTAGGTAGGTAGGGTAGGGTAGGGTGGTTGTTATTCCTTGAGTTGAGAGGTTCTCTTTCTCTGTTGTGGTCCGGTGGAACGCCAGCGACCGAGCGAGGAAAACGTGTCTGCCAGCCTGTGTTGTTTTTGTAAGAGGGAGGATGTCGTCGTTGGGGTTCACGACGAGTCGAGTCGTGTCTATTTCAAGTTTGATTTACTAAATTTAAATTTGACCCAACCCAACATAAGTTGAACATAGTTGTACATTCATTGTTTAAGTTTAATTTATTTATAATTATTGAGTTTATAATTATGTTTATTTATATAATAAATTAATTTTTAATTAATCAAACTCAAGTAATTAATTTTTCTTTTCTTTTCTTTTCACTCATCATTATCAAAATTAATATAATAGGTCGGTCGGTGGAAGATTTTACTGTTTCCTTTAACTTTCTTTACTAGGAAATTGCACTATTTGTTTGGAATTCTAATACAAAATTCACATATAAAATATAATGAAAATAACAGGAGAGTTTTTATTTGATTAATAATATTAAATTTAGAAGAAAAAAATATGTATAAATAATACAAAAAAATTGTTGTATAGTTTATATATACTATATAAATAAATTGAATGGGTAAATCTATTTTTAAAACAGTATGACAAATTTTATCAGAATTGAATTGACTTACTAATTTAACCCAACCCAACTAATCAACAGGCCATCTCAAAGTCAAATTCATGGGATTAATTTTGAATGGTTTTGATTTGAGTCGGCGCGACTTTATTAAGCGGTTGACCAGTTTTTATGTTGTTTTTGGCAGAGAGATTTAAGGAGGAATTTAGAAAGAGAAAGGGAAAATGTGTGTGAAATTAGGTAAAATCTAAGCATATTTTATTTCATTTCACCTATCTTTTCTATTTCTTTTTTCAAATCCCTCATCAAATCCCCTAACCAAACACAACATTAGTATTTATTAGAATGCAAACTTTTCCTCCTTCCTGTTACAAAGAAAATGGAATGAGTGGACACTAGGGATTTTGACGCAGTTTTCATTTTGATTGTTTTTTTTTAAATTAACAATACTATATATAGGTGGTGGTTGACAAGTAGTTTTTGGGTTAAAATAGTCACAAAAAATAAAATAGATTATTTTAATCATAACAAATAAAATATCACATTTAATCCAAAATCATTACATTATTTTTTCATAAAAAAATCAAAAAATTAAAAAGTCCTTCTCAAATCAAGCATTTTAGTTGAGACTAAAATAGTTAAAAAAGTCAAAAGTTAACTTACTTCCCAAATGGAGGCATAGTATTAGTGTACTAATTAATATATTAATTAACGATGTGACATAATTTAAGATATTTTTGATATTTATAATTTATACAATGAGTTTGGTCAATAATAATGTCATAACTAATATTAGTACAATAATTAATACATGTAGTACTACTCTTTTAAAATAAACTTTTTCTTTGTCACAGACTTCATCTCAGCCGCTGATCTTCTCAAATTTTTAAGCGTAACCCTATGGGCGGAGGAGGAGGAGCACACACGCCACCAACAACGCCGTTTCCCATTCTTGGCAATTGTTTTGTAGGTGCGTGAGTTGTTCTTTTAGCCTATGTTTGGAAGCTGGGTTTGAGGGTTTTTTTTAGTTAAAACAATCACAAAAAATAAAATAAATATTTTTAATTTAATAAAATAAAATATCATGTTTAACTTATAATTGTTACATCTTTTTTCTTACAAAAAAGTCAAAAACTTTTCAATATTAGACTTTTTAATCTCAGATTGACTAAGATAGTCAAAAAAATCAAAAATCAAAAAACCAAAATGTTAACCCATTTCCTAAATGGAGCCTTAGTCTTCATTTGACAAGTGATTTGGATTTAGATTGTGACTAAAAAAATATAAGATAAATTATAAATGCATTCTCTAAGATTTGATTAAAATACGAATCATTTTCTGTGATTTTAAAAATTACATTTCACCTCTTGAGGTTTCAAATTTCATAACATATCGCTCATTTTATTAAATCAATTAACAGTTTTTAATGATGTTAAAAATATGTTTCAATTAATAATTTAGATAATTTTATTATTGTGTAGGAGAGTAATTATGAATTTTATTTTTTAGTTAATTCTGTTAAATAAAAAATTATAATAAGGGAATATTTGTAATTTTTCAAATCATAGGGACAATCTGTATTTTAAACAAATCTCAAAAATATATCCCCTATAATGGGATTTTTATTGATAAGTCCAATTTAGAAGTGTTTTAACCTAAGAAGTCCATGGAGGAATTTTTTAACCCATTTAGTCCCATGTATGTATAGTTTTATTCCATAAAGTCCATTTTCTTGATTTACACTATTTTCTTGGACACTTATGCCATTATATTTAATTTTGATACCCTTATAAATATTTTTTCAACGATTAGCAATTTAATGATGTGAACATTCATATTTTAAAATTCACATTTGTAGGAATGTAAATTGGCCCGTGGGCAGCCCGAAACCCGCCCACGAGCCAAGGCGGGCCCGGGGCGTTGACAATGTGAATATTCACATTGACATGTTAAAATTCACATTAATAGGAGTGTAAAATTGGCCCCCGTCCCGTGGCGGCGCGAAACCCACTCGCGGCCCATGTGCGGCCCGGGGCGACAATGTGAATATTCACATTGACATGTTAACATGCACATTGATAGGAGTGTAAAATTAGCCCGCGCCTTGTGGCTATCCGAAACCCGTCCACGGCCCGTGGGTGGCCCGGCCCGTGGGCGGCCCGGCCTGTTGACAATGTGAATATTCACATTAACATGTTAACAGTCACATTGATAAGAGTGTACAATTGGCCCGTGACCCGTGGGCAGCCCGAAGCCCGACCTCGGGCCAGGGCGGGCCTGGCCTGTTAGCAAAGTGAATATTCACATTGATATGTTAACATTCACATTGATAGGAGTGTAAAATTGGCCCGTAGCCCGTGGGCGGCCCGAAGCCCGATCGCAGCCCGAGGCGTACTTGGCCCGACCTGTGACAATGTGAATATTCACATTGACATGTTAACATTAACATTGATAGGAGTGTAAAACTTGTCCGCTGCCCGAAGCTCGCCCGCGGCCCGGGGTAGGCCCGGACCCAAACCCGGGCCACCCCGCGCAGCCCACGGGCTTCGGGCCTCCCATGGGACGCGAGTCAATTTTACACTCTTATCAATGTGAATGTTAACATGTCAATGTGAATATTCACATTGTCAACAGGCCGGGCCGGGACCGCCTCGGGCCGCCACGGGGCACGGGCTAATGTTACACTCTTATCAATGTGAATGTTAACATGTCAATGTCAATATTCACGTTGTCAACGGGCCGGGCTTCGGGCTGCCCACGAGTCACGGGCTAATTTTACACTCTTATCAATATTAATGTTAATATGTCAATGTAAATATTTATATTGTCAACGAGCGAGCCGGGCCGGGCCCGCCCTGGGCAGTGGGCGGGCTTCGGGCCGCCAACAGGCCACGGGCTAATTTTACACTCCTATCAATGTGAATGTTAATATGTCAATGTGAATATTCATATTGTCAACGGGCCGGACCAGGCTCGCCCCCGGGCCGCCCATGGGACGCAAGTCAATTTTACACTCTTATCAATGTGAATGTTAATATGTCAATGTGAATATTCACATTGTCAACAGGCCGGGTCGGGTCCGCCCCGGGCCGCCCACGGGCCGTGGGCTAGTTTTGGACAACCACGGGGTGCGGGCTAATTTTATACTTTTATCAGTGTGAATGTTAACATGTCAATGTGAATATTTGTATTATCAACAGGTCGGGCCGGGCCCGCCCAGGGCAGCCCACGAGCAGCAGGCGGATTTCGGGCCGGCCATAGGCCGCGGGCTAATTTTACACTCCTATCAATGTGAATGTTAACATGTCAATGTGAATATTCACATTGTCAACGGGCCGGGCCGGGCCCACCCGACCCGGGCCCGGGCCAGGGCTTCCGGCTACCCACGGGTCATGGGCCAATTTTACACTCTTTTCAATGTTAATGTGAATGTTAATATGTCAATGTGAATATTCATATTGTGAACGGGCCCGCCCGGGGCGACGGGCTGGTTTCGGGCCGCACACGGGCCGCAGGCCAATTTTCTTTACCTTCACTTACTCCACTACACACTCCACTTCACCTAACCCACTATCTCCTCCACTACACCTACTACCACATTTTCTTCTATATATAGATTGTATAGGAATTGTAATTCAATCAATCTTGTAATACATCAATACATCAATCAATCTTTACCTTCACTTACTCCACTACACACTCCACTTCACCTAACCCACTATCTCCTCCACTACACCTACTACCACATTTTCTTCTATATATAGATTGTATAGGAATTGTAATTCAATCAATCTTGTAATACATCAATACATCAATCAATCTTTACCTTCACTTACTCCACTACACACTCCACTTCACCTAACCCACTATCTCCTCCACTACACCTACTACCACATTTTCTTCTATATATAGATTGTATAGGAATTGTAATTCAATCAATCTTGTAATACATCAATACATCAATCAATCTTTACCTTCACTTACTCCACTACACACTCCACTTCACCTAACCCACTATCTCCTCCACTACACCTACTACCACATTTTCTTCTATATATAGATTGTATAGGAATTGTAATTCAATCAATCTTGTAATACATCAATACATCAATCAATCTTTACCTTCACTTACTCCACTACACACTCCACTTCACCTAACCCACTATCTCCTCCACTACACCTACTACCACATTTTCTTCTATATATAGATTGTATAGGAATTGTAATTCAATCAATCTTGTAATACATCAATACATCAATCAATCTTTACCTTCACTTACTCCACTACACACTCCACTTCACCTAACCCACTATCTCCTCCACTACACCTACTACCACATTTTCTTCTATATATAGATTGTATAGGAATTGTAATTCAATCAATCTTGTAATACATCAATACATCAATCAATCTTTACCTTCACTTACTCCACTACACACTCCACTTCACCTAACCCACTATCTCCTCCACTACACCTACTACCACATTTTCTTCTATATATAGATTGTATAGGAATTGTAATTCAATCAATCTTGTAATACATCAATACATCAATCAATCTTT